GATCAGCCAAGTTACCAGACATAAGTGACACTCGTCTAGCCATCGTAGAGGCCCCCAGTTGTACGTCAGAGAGAGTGGAGATCAGATCGGCTCCATTTTTCTCATCCTTGAGAACAGTGTTAGCAATAATAATCATTGCTTCTTTGACAACTTCTCCGTCTGAAAATGCCTTCTTCTTCTTTATTAGAAAATGTGTAGCTCTAAACGAGGCTTCCGTTGTTTTTTGGGACTTTTTTGTTGGCTCTTTTGAAAAAAAAAAAAGACTGTTGCCTCCCCAAAGCTGCCTTGAGCTCACGGGATTTTTCTGTCCGCAATGTGCTAAATAGTTAGTATTGTAGCTTTTATGACACGTAGTGAAGTGTCGCTCCATATTTTGCCGCTTCGCCGTCGCCACAGTCGCCCGCAAATAAGACACACACAGGTTCCCTTCACAGTTGTAAAAAATAACTCTTCCTCCCATTCGTTTTTAAAAGTATAAGTTTTCCTTCTTTTTTCTGCCATTTTTGGGGGGTAGGAAAGTTCATTCACCGATTACCTTCGCGGAACTCCTAGCATACTTTTCACGACCGCTGATTGGCTCGCACAATACTGCTCTTTGAACTAGATTAGGTCAGAGTTCACCAAAGCTTAAATAATAATAATAATAATTATATATATATATATATATATATATATATATATATATATATATATATATAGATATATATATTTTTTATAGATGTGTATATATAATGTATATAAACACAAATAACATAAAAATAATAACTGAATAAAATTAAATTTTAGACTGAGGGCCGCTCAGTAGTGAGTTGTGCTATTTTTAGAACTGGTCCATGGGCAACTCAAATGGTCCTTGCGGGCGACCAGGTGTCCGCGGGCACCAGGTTGGTGACCCCTGCTCTAGGCTATAGGCTATAGGCAATAGGCTATAGACAATAGGCTATAGGCTATAGGCAATAGGCTATAGACAATAGGCTATAGGCAATAGGCTTTAGGCTATAGGCAATAGGGTATAGGTTATACGCTATAGGCTATATGCTATAGGCAGCAGACTATAAGCAATAGACTATAGGGTATAGGCAATAGGCTACAGACAATAGGCTATAGGCAATAGGCTACAGGCTATAGGCAATAGACTATAGGTTATAGACAATAGGCTATAGGCAATAGGCTATAGGCTTTAGGCTATAGGCAATAGGGTATAGGCAATAGGCTATAGCAGGCTCGCGAGCCAGGTGTGGCTTTTGATGATTGCATCTGGCTCGCAGAAAAAAACATAAAATATTACATTTGGATTGTTTTAATCCATCGATTTTCCACTGCTCATGTCCTGTTCAGGGTTGCTATTGGCTGCAGGAGAAGTCCGTTATTTTAATTGGATGATAATAGCCTACTTTGGCTGTTGCTGGGTAAACAGGTAAATGCCCCCTTTTGAATCAGTCTGCTCGGGCATTAGCTCAAAGCTAACCCTTCGACAAAAAGGATGGCGAAAAGAAAAAAAGACGAGGATTATCGTACATTTCAGGACGAATGGACCGACGAATTTGCCTTTGTGGAGAGAGCAGGTTCTGCGGTATGTTTAATTTGCAATGACAAAATTGCGTCGATGAAACGGTCGAATGTAAAGCGGCACTTCGACACACGCCATGCTACCTTTGCGTCAAAATACCCGGCGGGAGACAGCAGAAAGAAAGCGTGCCAAGAGCTACTGAGCAGCGTGCAATCCAGCCAGTAGCAACTCCGCCTATGGACCCGACAAGGTGACTACAATTCCGCTAGCTTTGCTGGATCTTTAGCAATAGTGAGTAACGGAAAACCATTCACAGATGGCGAGTATACTAAAACGTTCATGCTGGATGTAGCCAATGAACTTTTTGATGATCTTCCGAACAAAGACAAAATAATCAAATGGATAAAAGACATGCCTCTGTCGGCAAGAACTGTTCATGATCGCACCATCATGATGTCAAACCAAGTGGAGGAAACGCGGGTGAAGGACATAAATGCAGCACCGTTCTTTTCCCTGGCTTTGGATGAGTCAACAGACACAAGCCATTTGTCACAGTTCAGTGTGATTGCAAGATATCCTGCTGGTGACATGCTGCGCGAAGAAAGTCTTGCTGTTCTGCCAATAAAAGGGTCCACAAAAGGTGAGGATTTATTCAAGTCTTTCATGGAGTTCGTTCAAGAAAAAAATCTACCTATGGATAAACTTCTCTCAGTGTGTACTGATGGTGCTCCGTGTATGGTGGGAAAAAACAAAGGATTTGTGGCACTTCTCCGTGAGCATGAAAATAGACCCATCCTAAGTTTCCATTGCATTCTACACCAGGAGGCACTTTGTGGTCAGATGTGTGACGAGCAGCTTGGCGAAGTGATGTCGCTGGTCATTCGTGTGATCAACTTTATTGCTGCCCGAGCCTTAAATGATCGCCAGTTTAAAACACTGCTGGATGAAGTTGGACATAACTACCACGGTCTGCTTTTGCACAGCAATGTACGTTGGTTGTCAAGAGGGAAGGTGCTTTGCCGTTTTGCAGCTTGCTTGGACGAAATCCGGACTTTCCTTGCAATGAAAGGCATCGAGCATCCTGAGCTTGCCGAAACTGAGTGGCTCCTCAAGTTTTACTATCTCGTGGATATGACTGAACATCTGAACCAGCTCAATGTGAAAATGCAAGGCACTGGAAATACAGTCTTATCCCTTCAACAAGCCGTGTTTGCTTTTGAAAACAAGCTGGAGCTCTTTATCATGGATCTTGAAACAGGTCGTTTACTACATTTTGAAAAATTGAGACAATTTAAAGATGCATGCACAGCAAGTGAGCCCACTCAAAACTTTGCTCTCCGCCAGGTAGCTGGCTTCACATCCAGTCTCCTACAGTCGTTCAAAGCACGCTTTGGAGAATTTCATGAGCACACTCGTCTTTTCAAGTTCATCACCCATCCAAACGAGTGTTCACTGAACACAGCCGACCTGAGTTACATTCCTGGTGTCTCCGTCAGAGATTTTGAAACAGAAGTGGCTGACTTGAAGGCCTCAGACATGTGGGTGAATAAGTTCAAGTCACTGAATGAAGATTTGGAAAGAATTGCACGACAGAAAGCAGAGTTGGCGAGCAAGCACATGTGGGCAGAAATGAAAAAACTTCAGCCCGAAGACCAGCTGATTATCAAAACTTGGAACGCACTTCCTGTCACATACCGCACCCTGATAGGCTATAGGCAATAGGCTATAGGTTATAGACAATAGGCTCTAGCCTATAGGCTATAGGCAATAGGCTAAAGGCAATAGGTTATAGGCTATATGCTATAGTCTTTAGGCAATAGGCTATAGGCAATAGGCTATATGCTATAGGTTATAGGCAGTATGCTATAGGCTATAGGCAATGGGCTATAGACTATAGGCTATAGACAATAGGCTATAGGCAATAGGCTATAGATTATAGACAATAGGCTATAGGCTATAGGCAATAGGCCGTATGTGTCTAACTCCAGTCCTCGAGGCCCAGTGTCCTGCAACTTTTAGATGTGCCTCTGCTGCACCACTCCTGAATAGAATAATTTGGTCATTAGCAAGGCTCTGGAGAACAAGGAGGAGGTAATTAAGCCATTTCATTCCAGTGTTTTGTACCTGTGGCTAAAAACTACACATCTAAAACACTGTGCAATAACTGTATGTAAATGCCAGCAGGAGAGTAAACATTTCTTGATTTCGTTGAGAGCAGTGATTTGATTGACCAATTCAACAGCAGAATGGACATTATTTTTTTAATTGTTTGAAAATGAATTTAAAATAGCTAGAAATGAATTGTGGGCAGGTTCTGTTCAGAACATTGTGATATCATATGGAATGACTTGTCATCAGGCGCTTTTGGAACTTTTGTCAATAAGAGAGGAGTTCCTACAGGAATTCATCCATTTGAAGAGTTAGAGTCAGAAGAGTCAGACATATTACTTCAAGAAATTCATTAAGTTGAACTGAGCTTCGGTTTTTCAAGTAAGTATTTATTTAGAAGTGAGTGAGGCAAAGAAAAAAAATTGTCATTTTGTGCTAGTTTTTTGAAGGACGTGTGCAGCAATGCTGCAAATAGGTTAAGGACGACAAGTTGTTAGTAATCAGTTTTTAGCTCTAATCAAACCATTTTAGCAACTTCTTGATGTAAATATCAAATGTCTCATTTGTGTTTCAGCATGTTTTTTTTTTCATATTTGCAAACTTCATTGAATATTGAAACAGCAGAAAAAATATTAAGGAGTTCTATGTGGAAAACATTGTTTTTCCTTCAAGTTTGATAGATAGTTTATGATTTTCACACATGAAATGATCGATTTAATCCTCATTTCAGTTCATATAATATGTTTGTGTTTATCATGATGATTGATAAACATTAAATGAAGTTTTTGATATATTACATCATTTAATTTACAATGTTTACTTTGAAAATGACTTACTGTAGAGTTGTGTTGTACATTTTGGACATGCTTTGTGCCAGACACGGATAACCTTTCCCTGTCTTTGTTTTCTGTAGTCATGCAAAGACGAAGTGAACGTTTGCAAAACAATGGGTACTATGACATGTATGGCCAACCTGTTATCTCATACAGGGAGACGCCAGTCAGGTATATTAAATCAGCAATTTTTTTAACTATTATGTTTTATGCAGTCGTGTATATCTTAACTCACTTGCATATTTTCCATCTAGGCCCAGACGGAGGCGCACAGCATATTTCCCTGTGAACCACCCTTCAAATAGGGAGATGATATTAAGAGTGAGGATTCATTGTGGTGAAGACCAAGCAACCCAGACAATAGACACTGATTCAAAGTTGCTTTCACACCTTTGTCTTTGGCTTTCTCATCTTTGCTTTTGGTAAATATTCTCCTTCTACAAATTTGTAGACTATTTGAAGTGTTATAGAAAGACTGCATTTTGAATGTTGTCTCACTGTCATCTTCTGCTCATGTTCATCAGGTTGTATTTGGTGGAATATTTCCTCCACTCACGACCCTCAAAGTTATCGATGACACCACCTGAAATTGACATGGTAGGCTTTCTCTTCCTAATCTTAACGCTGATTTAATTATCATGAACAAACATAAGAACAAGCTGTTAACTTCTATGTTGTGCACAGGTTAGTGTCTCTGCACGTATGGATGAGGGATATCTCTCCATGCTGCAATTGATGGAGACAAAGGTAGACTACCTTCTGCCACAAGTAGATCTGTGGCCCAACTTTGCTTTGGAGTCCCAAGGTGAGCCATTACAAATAAAATCATAAACTAGTTTTCAAATTTTCAGTATTACATTTTTATGACTCACATTATTTCTTTTTGTGTTTTGTGCACAGGAGCAACAATTTTACGGAAGACAAGCTCAGATACGTATCACACCTATAAAGAATTTGAATTGTTTGGGGTATCTATCAAGCTACCTGCTATAGGCCCAGAAATCGTTATTAAGGTCTGAATGATACTCAAATCATTAAATAAATATTAGGAAAAGTGGTGTTTCTTGTTGATATAATATTAGGCTTTAGTTTTCTTTTCTCTAAGTCTTGGTAACCCGCCTAAACTTTGTTTTGTTCTCTGTTTTCAGGGAAGATCTCATCTCAGTCCAGGACACTGCTGGGCCTTTGCAGATTTACCGGGACGTTTATCCATAGCACTGTCCCACAAAACCACCGTCACTCATGTGTCAATGAGTCATATTCCCAAGTTCGTTTCCCCGACTTCCTCAGTCTCTAGTGCTCCTCGAGAATTTTCTGTCTATGTAAGTCACGTAAATGAGTGTCAAAACTATAAAACATCCACCTATAGTATATGTTTAGTGTACATTTAAATTGTATACATTTAAAATGTATTGATTCAGTATGACATCACTTGATCTCATTCTAAACTCTGTAAACTTTCATTCTGCACTAATTAATTTTCTGCTTACCTCGGGATGTGATATGTTTTTAGATACACCAAATAACTTCCCACATATCGAGAAAGAACAAGATAATGAATTGCATTTCTGTCTGATTTTGTCTCAGGGAAAGGAGAACTTGCAAGATGAGGAAACTCATTTGGGAACTTTCTTGTATGATGAAGATGGCGACCAAATACAGACCTTCAAACTTCCTGTAAATATGTCAAATGAATGCTTTATAAACCAAATACTGTTTTCACAGAAGCCCAGATCGACTGACCCTGTTATAAATGCTGATCATATTTCCGAACATACAACCATAAGGTTCTATACTGGGTATTACTAGCATTGAATTAAAATACAAAGTACTTGAAATAAAGTACCGTACTATTGCTCCATTCAAAATGCTCCAATGAAAATTTCTATTTAAACCATAAAAATTATGTTAATTCTGCACTTCCAGAGCTGTTGAGAGAGACTGTAACAGATAGATAGCATTGAATTGAATTATGTTGGCTAGAAATAGTGCCTAAATAAACCACCATTCCCCACCTGCATAAAGTTTTGTTATTTAACCATAACTATTCCAAAACACACATACAAAGTGAACAGATAGAAAAAACTGTTGATTTTTTTTGGCCATCACTTAGGGAGGAAAATATTTTTTCTCTTGGCATAAATCTCGTTAATAAGACTTTTATTTATCTTGACAACAACAAACAAAAAGTCAACGTCTTATTGCTGCGGTGTGGAATCTTCTTCCATCAAGACAGAGACTCGGATTTCTTTTATTGAACATTTTTGTTCAGTTTTAATGGGGAGAAAACAGCAACAGCTCATAACAGCAACAGTTTGTTACCTAGCAACCAAAGTCAACAGAAGCAAGACGTGACAAAATACAGAACCAGATTCTGTTAAGCATTCTTCAAAATAAAAGACTTCCTCTACCCAAATAAATCATGCCTCACATTTAAATATGTTTCTCTTCAGCTTTTGTAATTATTTACAATCATTTTAAATTCAGTTAATAATAATCACGTGAATTATGCTTGACGTACAATTGCAAATAAGTCACTTATAAGGCAAATTATACTTAACAACATATAAGTGTAAAAAAGTCACAACACTTCACAAAACAATCATTTTTCTTGTCTCTGTATAACAAACAATTAAATCCCAGTGTTACTACATAACATTTTGCTTTCTGGTTAGTAAAACCTCAGTGTAATTACCTTGCTATCTTGAGATAAACTATGCAAAATATATTTGCAGCAAGGCCAGTTGAACTCGGCTTCCATAAGACAGACCTCCTTTGTGTCTATTGTCTGTCTATTTGTAACTACGGATTATCAGTCTAACCTAATTTGTATCTGTCTTGGTTTACAGGCCGATAAAGTTGACACATTCCACTACGTGACTCTAAATGTGAACAGTAACTGGGGTCATCCGGATTACACCTGCCTTTACAACTTTAGAGTTCACGGTGAACTTGCCAAATGATGAGGACAAGGAGAAAATGGATAAAAGATATCAAAGGGAATGTATTTTTTTCTTTTCCATACACATATACACAAAGGCCCACAGGTACAACAGGAACCAATTACTATTATGTTTTACAGGAGTGACATACATTATTATGGTCCCTTTATACTGTAATAGTATAGATTTTATTCTGACGGACTGAAATGAGGGCTGCACAATGGCACAGTTGGCAGCACTGCTGCCTTGCAAAAACGAGGTTCAGACATGATAAAAGTAGTATGCGTGGGTCTCTTTCCGGCTACACCAGTTTCCTCCCACAGACATAATAAAAGTAGCATGTGTGGGTTTTCTCCGGGTACTCCGGTTTCCTCCCACAGTAAGAACATGACTGTTAGGTTAATTGGTCTATCCAAAGCCTACTTACGTGTGAGTATGTGTTGCATGATTGATTGTCATGTCTATCTCTAAATAGAGTAGGATCCATTAACACATCTTTTTAAATAATTCTCATGTTCTTAACCTCCTCCCAAAAATCCGTGGTTTTGTTGCATTGCCACAAGCGATGTAATAGTGCCCCTTTCTCCACCATGCATACACAAATCTAGAATGATGGGGTTAAACTATTCAGTTTTACAGGGGTGATGTATATTCTCATCATCCATTTATACTGTAATAGTGTAGACTTTGTTCTAATGCATTGGGAATGAGGGTTGCACAATGGTACACTTGGTAGCATTGTTGCCTTGCAGAAAAGAGGTTCAGACATAATAAAAGTGCCATGTGCGGGTTCTCTCCGGTACTCCGGCGTCCTCCCACAGTCAGAACATGACTGTTAGGTTAATTGGCGCTGCATGGTTGATATTCCTGTGTGTTGCACTGGGATGGATTGGCAACCTGGACAATTCCATGTTGTGAATTTAAGTCCTATTTTTTGCACCATTTAAAATGAAAGTACTGACAACATAACATAAACTGTTATTACAGTTTATGTAATGACAGCTTTTACATAAACTGCTGTTACATTTAACATAAACTGTCTGAAAAGATTAACATATTCAAACACAAACATAAACTCTGAAAACAGTATGTTTATTTCTTGATCAAAATGTAAGACATTTTGACCAGGATATGGGAACACAGCAACATCACTTTGTAGATAACAGTGAATGTTATTCTTTCAGGACTGACTCCTGTGAGAGGTAATTTACTGCTACAGGCAATAAACTGCAACAGTCTGGGCATTATTTTCTGTAGACTAATAGACTGAGAACTACTTTCCTACATCTCTCTTTTTTAATATGTGTAATGTAAACTAATATTGTAACTAAATCTGTCTTTCTTCTTTCAGAGGTTTGCTGAGAGTTTTTTGTTTTTCTTTTTTACATTATTTTTGCCCTCTTGAAGCCAGCCAGCCTCGGCAGAAGGCTGCTCATCCTGAGCCTGGTTCTGCTGGAGGTGTCTTCCTTTTAAAGGGAGTTTTCCTCTCCACCGTTGCCTTGCGCTTGCTCAGGATGGGAGATCCCTTGGATTAAACATCCATCGCGATCTGCTGGTGACCCCTCCGCAGAATCGCCACCTTAACGTGGTGGAGGGGTTTGAGTATCCCCATGACCCAGATGGAGGTTTTGGCTTGGGCTTCACCCAGTAGTGAGGCTTCCCAGGCAGGCTGCCATTGGGGAGGGATCAGACTAAGAGCGATTCAAGGTTTTCAATGAAGGACTACCAAAGGAATCAGGTATTTCAAGGAGACAAAGTTATCCCAAGTCCGATTTTGCAGGAAGTTTCTCTCTATAAACAGTCAGTTATCTTCCTCACTGATATAAATGTCAAAGAATTCAATGTACTCCAAGGCCCTCCTGTGACTGCTAACTGTGGTTCCATCAAGGTACCAGAATGTGAGGAACTTAAGGTCAGATGGGGTCTAAGATAACATCAGAAACATATCAGAACCATAAAGCATCTCAAGATGAGGTTGTGTTGTTGAAGGATGAGGGATATCTCTCCAGGCTGCAATTGATGGAGACAAAGCTAGACTACCTTCTACCACAAGTAGATCTGTGGCCCAACTTTGCTTTGGAGTCTCAAGGTGAGCCATTACAAATAAAATCATAAACTAGTTTTCAAATTTTCAGTATTACATTTTTATGACTCACATTATTTCTGTTTTTGTGTTTTGTGCACAGGAGCAACAATTTTACGCAAGACAAGCTCAAATACGTATCACAGCCATACTGGAAAAAGTGATGCACGGAGCTGTTCATTCAAGCTAATAACTACCATTGAATACATTGTAAAATAATTGACTTGATGGTGAAAGTCAATTTTTTTGCATTCTGAGGTGTCAATTTTGATTCAGACTGAATTAATCACACTTCTGAAGGAAAGAAAGCAAATATTTTGATTTCTCTCAAAACATACTGACAGGAAATGATGTAATGATTTGAATCTGAGTCACGTGAGAAGAAGTTGTGGAGAAGTGCTTGGAGAGCATCGTCCGTTTCGGCATGGGGAAGAAAGAATGATTAACGTCCTAGCATTTAATCGAAGAATAAACCTGCGGTAAGTACTAACCTAAGCTGATGTCTTAACAAGCCTACAATTGTATTAATGCAAAAGACTGAGTTAATGTCACCTGGTTAGCAAGCTGAAGGTCCCGCCTAAATATGGGTATCCCAGTAAACGCTTCTTTTTTCGCCGGGTTAAATGTGGTGTCATTTCTGAACTTACACGTATTTCACGAGAAATATCACTATGTGTACATTGTTCGGTTGTAGCTGAAATTAATTAAGGTAGGCATAATTCGTTACCAATCAATTGCTTCCACCACGGTTCGCTCGGCTACACCGTGAACTTGACTAGCTCAGCATATTAAGCCATGTTAGCAATTAGTTCGTCTAGTGTGTTTATACCAACCATTTAAAAAAAGAAAAACATGTGCCACCTATGAGTACATTAATGTGTAGTAGCTCATAGGAAATCATTTGTGCACCTGTCACTGCACCAAAGATACTTTGAGACTGTAGGAACCAAAACAGGAGCCATCCAGTCTGTCTTCATATTTAAAGAGGGACTACCAGTGGCCTCTGGCAGATGTACTAGAATGGCTTTACATTTTCACTGCTTTGAATTAGTCTGCCATGGATTCAATATTGACGAGGCGCGCACTGTAAAAGCACTGTTTATGGTAGAGCTAGGAATTGAGTTGCTAGATTAGTCTACACATTGCATAATAACCATTTTGATTGTCCCTAAAGGGTGCTGATGCAGATTTCAGAAGGGAGTGTATCCTCAAAGCTCTCATCATCTACCTGGGAGAACGTGTTGAGGACCTTATAAAGGAATACATGGTATGTCCAGATATTTTCTGTCACAATGATGATTCAACTTTATTCATCACAGGAGACCACCTATGCCATAATACAATATATAGTGATTAATGAGGTGTGCCAGACTGCAGTTGTTCAGTTGCATATTTCCTATATTTTGTCTCAGGTCTCCAGAAAGATCAAGCCAAGCAGGAGCTGGAGAGGACCATCATGGCAGACTTCGTCTTCAGAGAGAATTCAAGCCTTCTACAGCAGCCCAAGACGTTGGGATTGTCATTGATGGGTGGAAGTCCTCAATGAGTTGCCTTTGTTGCAGCCGGAGTTGTAATGCTCTTTGGACTTTGCTATGCCCTTATCATGGAGTATCCACAGGGTTTCAGGTTCACCTTTGAGGCCTTCAGAAGATCCTGATGGAGCTTGGTTCCAACAAGATGACTTCCAAGATTCGCAAACTCAGTGGTGAACTCAAAACTGCACAGTGGTGTATATTTGTGTGTGCTTAATGTGTGCATGTAGTTGCCACTGGCTTCTATTTAAGAGGTAGACCACCTCAGCAGCACTTTGTTATACAGGCTCACAGTGTCACTTTCATGGACTGCTTTGTTGGCATTTTACTTCTTTGATGATGTTTAGAGATGCAACATTCCTTCATGTGTTTGAACAGTACAACAGTGGATGCTTTCCAACCATTTAATTTAGCTTGGTAAGCCATATTGTCTTTATTTCATTGCTCTGAGCAACAATGACATGTTTACATTTGTTTGTCTGAACATGCCACTTTTTTTCTCCTTTTTTACTTGTGAGGAATAAATGACTTTGAAAAAATGTTGCTGGAGTGTATTAAGTGTGATTGATGTGAGTGATGCAAATAGTTTTTTAAACCAAATTTCTGAAAAAAAAAAAAGACTTTCATGGTGAAAATGAATTAACTGGTGCTAATGCCTGAATATTGCTTTGGTGCAATGTATATATTTGATTGGTTCAATGTAAATATTTTACTTTGGTTCCAAAACTGAAATGTAAATAATTTAACTTGGATAAAGGTGAAGAATTAATATTGGCTCAAGTACAATGATATGGTTTGAATCAAAATTAAATAGCCATGTTGTACCAAACAACTTTATTTACATTCTGTGAAGTCAAATACTTTAGATCAGGGGTTTTCAAAGTATGAAATAGTGAGCCCCCCTTCAAGGAGCACAATGCCTTCTGCCCCCCCCAATAATCAACCCACACACAAACAAATGCCACTACAAAACACCTAATAGCTTAGAACCATCTCATCTTTTAAAATGACACTTTATCTGAATGAAATTTAACACATGAACATTTTAAACATTTTCTCCCATTTCAATTATTTTATCAGGGCCTTTGGATGGCAGTTACGCCCTTTTTTCATTTTTCTAATGATAAGAACAACCCCACTCATTTTCAACCGTTTTCTCAAACAAACGTTACATCTGAGATTCTGAGTTTAATGTTTGAGATACCAACAGTGTTTTCACATCTTAACAAAAACATTTTGATCAGATCTTTGGAACACATCTGTAAATGTTGCACATTTCCTTAAAATTAAAAACCTAAACAGTTACACAATTGTGGAGCTCTTTTTGTGGCTCATCTAAACAATTTAAACAAACAATTTATCTCGAGCTAAAAGAGCATGCTGTATGAAAGAGCGGAGGCATACAAAGGAAAAAAAAAACATGCGCACCCTTTCTTTTCTATCACAGTCCTGAATCATGTGTAACTAATTTTATGTATGATTTTAACTAAATTGGCAACATTACTGTTCAGCTCACCTTAGTTTTAGTGGGGACAATGTGCTTGTGCTTTTGATGCGCAAATCCGGTTAATGCGGGGTTGCACTGTGGAAGCGGTATAACGGCAGATCATTTTCAACCAGCAGCCTTGACCGGGATTTATTTCTAATCATTGCGAGTGCGGAAAACCCACATTCGCAGAGATAGGTTGAAGTGAAGGGGTTGAGCACGTTTACTAAAAATTTGTCAATTTTTCTCTCACATCAGTAGACAGCAAGCGGATAGCTTCTTCTTCGGTTTATTTTTTCCCTCGCACCGCGCCTCCCCTAATGTGCTCTGGCGCCCCCCAGGGGAGGCGCGCCTCACACTTTGAAAACCGCCGTTTTAGATGCAACAAATGGACATCAAACTTTTTACTTTAAGCAAGGCCACACTTTTTCCAGTGTGAGCTCTATGCTCATTTCCTTTTGAGAGGCAGAGGTGAAAGACTTCATGTTCCCCATGGAACTTGAAGACGACCAATAGTTTTGTTAAAAGTTTTTTTTTTTGTTTCACTTTCAAAGAAATTCTGGAATCTTCCTCTACTACCTAAAAGTCGGAGATCTCTGCTTGTGGTAGTTCTTCCTTCACTGTTTCCAGACATAACCTTGAAAGGCCATCGCCATTCTCATAAAACTCAGGTTTCTTGTACTTTATTTCATGGGTGTGTGCTGACAACAGCAACACCCGTCTTTGCATTCGGTTTGTGGCAAATGGAGGAATGCCTCTAATGGATGACTGTGGCGAGAAGACAAAGAATGATCCTTCTGAAGAATAAACTTTGTGTCAAGAAAGATACTGGTGGGATTTCTGCACACCCAACACAATTCCAAGTTTGTCCTGGACATAAACTCTGTTTCCATTATAAATATGCACACAACTTTGTCAATATTCTGCTAATATAATAAAAACACAAAGCAATTTAAATTACAAGAGAATAAGTTTGTTTACAAGATAAGTCAATAAAAACATACCACAAAATGGACCTCCTCCCACTTCCTGTCATCTTCTTCTTTGTGGTTTGTGCCAGTGGTAACATGTTGACCATGTGACCCAAGTGAGGAGTTTTTCTTTTCTCCATTACAGTTTTGCAAAACAAACCAATTTTGATATGACCAAAACTATTTTCGTCCTACCAGAAAAGTAGTTTACCAGAGAAGAGTTTTTTTCAAAATTGGAGTGTTTGCCTGTAAGCAAATTTGTTTCTGAAATGTCAAATTGCAAAATTGTACATTTGCTAGAGGACGGATTCATTTCTCAATATAACAACAAAACAAAATCACAAAATGATAGGGAAAATAATGCACATGGTCATGAAGATCTGAATTTGACAATGTAGATCTTGAAACACATACACACACACGCACACCCCCATGCCTACACACCTACACACACACTCACACACAGTGTTCAAACTGGGAGTGAATCAATACGGATGGAAATCCTTCAAATGTGTGACAAAATCTGCTTCATGTCCTCAAGTTGAGACGCATGCAGGACACATTTTTTTCATACACCTACATGAACAGTGTATCAGCTGCAGCTATCGTCTGGAACCAAACACTTATCTGGCTGAAAGCAGCTGTACTGCATATTTCAGTATGCAGTACAAACAAAAAATGGATTGGATCCAATCAGACTGTAACTCAGCAAAAATAATAGTTTGAAAGATTCAAACAAACCATAACAAAGTACACAGACAGTATTAAGTGCTGTACTGTAGACAGCTTTGTGGATTGCAGTGCTGAATGGCATTGAGCGCAAGTCACAAGAAAAAATCTGCTTCCCGTTAAACACTTAGTTTTAAAAATCAAAACTAAATAATAGAACAGTTATTTACACAGATTGTGCAGCACTAACGTGCATGGGGTTCAGCATTTATAAATATCGTTTCAAGTTTTCAGGTAGACAACATCTAATAATGTGGTATGTGTTTGTGTGCTAACTAAGTCACAGAAGGTTGGGAATGGTCTTCCTGAAGGCAGCATAGTGTGAAAGATACGGGGGTGGCACTGTCTCAGAGGCTGTCTGAGGTCTAAGATGGAGGAAAGGACAGACCGACCAGCAGATACTGCTACACACACATAGACGGGTCAGAAACAGAGAGCGAGAGTGAAGAGAGAACAGAGAGAGGAGAAGATGGAGATAAGCTCCATCAGAAGGTGGAAAAGATAACAGCAGATAGAGAAAGCATGACAGAAGCCCAAAAGCGAGTGAGCATGACAGACACAGGAAGAGAACAACAGATATAGAAAAAGCAAGAGGATGAATTTAATACATTTGGTTCAGGCTTCAAACCATGGCGGTTTCCTAGCAACATAAACAAGACGAGCCTGGGCTGGTTTGTGCTTCAGTGAAAAAGTCCTTCTCCAAAGCCTCTCTTCCTCTTCCTCAGTCCAACTCACTCATATCAAACATTGAACATTGTCCCAGTTAATTTCACAGAGCAGAATTCTCAGACACACGTTCTTCTGCTTTGTTCAGTTGATGCCATAAAATGTATGTGTTTGGATCAGCCAGTCCTCTTATGTCCAAACTTACATCGGCCCATTCTTACCCATGAACTGCTTGTCATTAAGTTTAGGTTTTGTGATAAAAAATGATGAGTCTTCTCCTTCTACTGAACATCACTATATGGGATAAGCTTATCCTGGGCGACCTCTGTGGTTATGCTGCTGGAGGACATTTCAACTGTTAACTTTATGTTTTCTCAGTTGTTTTCTCGATAAAAACTAGATCTGGCCTGATACCTTCCTAGTGAATAGTTATTAGCGTGCTCAGCATACGGTGAAGAAAAATGAATGATTTCTAAAATGCACCTCTCCACCTGCTGCTTTATTGGATCAACAGATTTCATTTTAGATCCATATTTACACCTAAAGATGCACCGCCACAATCTGATTGAGCGGATGACCCGATCTGACAAACTCCAGGTCCAGTAATCAGCCCTGTGATTCATTAGTGGGTGCTGAAGTCAGATGAATGACTCACAGGTCTGGAGTGTCCCAAACCTACCATGTAGTTCTTAATGGTGTCATGTCAGAGGAAGGATGGCATCACTGTCTTCTTACTGTGTATGTGTGTGTCCTGAGGTGTGCTCAAGAATAATAGCCAACCCAGTTAATGCCACAGAACAGCCATCCAGCAAAGCCTCAGTGGGAGTGGAACATGTTCATGTCTAAACTGTCAGCTGAGGATTCCAGTATCAGAAAAAAATCACTAAAGGTCTCTAAGGCTAATCAGAAACCGCTGCAGTATACAAAAAAGCTTTTTACAACCAATAGTTGTCATTCTTTGAGTGGGGCAAGATGAGAAATGTTTGCTGTATCCATTAACCTACAAGCAGGAATGAAAGAGGAAGATCTAAGCATCAATGTTTGTATTAACCTGGATATTTGGATCCAAATAATGGAGCCTGCCAGATGTTTGTAGTGTTAGACTGTTTCTCTGCTAATGAAACAAAAGAACAGGCGGATGACTGGACAATTATACAAGTATTACCTCAATATCTGAGCATCCTCTAGTGGACATGTGGAGAATTAAAAACATCCTGGGCTGAACCAACCCATGAATATTTATCTGGTGCAGTATGAGAAAATAAAAAAAATGTAAAGAAAAGTTGGGATAAATTGTTATTACATTTCAAAAATACATTATGGATACCAAAGAGAAAATGAATGTTGTTGTAACTCATATCAATTCAAAATTCTTCAAAATTCTCCTAATCATCTGCTACTCTGTTAAAACAAAACCTAAGTGTTGAACCTTAACTAGACAGCCATGAGAGAATGAAGAGTCTGTCTGTTTCCCATACAGTAAGTATGTAATAAAAACAACTCATCATGTTATCTATTAAATGCAGATAGTTGAGTCTCTTTGTTCTTTTCAAAACAAAAATGGAGGACAAGCTCAATGCAGAAAGCCTGATGTTACATGAAAAAATGCTTCAAACTGAAAGGATGTTTACAGATGGAAGAGCCAGCAGTAAACCTGTGGTTTGAGAGCTCAGGATTCTGTTAGGAACATCTGGACCAATCAGGTCTCTGATGCATGATGGAGTTGATTATTACAGGCTTTAAACGTGCGAATGAGAATTTTATATTCTACTCTGGATTTTGCAGGAGGCCAATGAAGGAAAGCTAAAATATTCTACAACCGGATAATAAAGATTTACACTAGTCCAGCCTTAAATGCATGGACTAGTTTTGCAGTCTCACTCTTGGACGGAATATTTCAAATTTTAGCAATATTCCAGAGGTAAAGAAAGTAAATAATAGAAACCTGCTTAGTTTGGGAATTAAATGACACGCCATGGTAAAAAATTATAAGTTATTTACAGTATTACAGGAGACTAATTTAATGCCATCCAGGTTATGATTCTGACTAAGCAATTTCTTTTTCAAAAACTGTGGTCCAAAAATCTGTTTTTCTATTTAAAAGATGAAAATTTAGTCATCCAATATTTTATGTTGTCAAGACTTGCTTCTGATCTACCTAACAGATTGGATTTATCACAATTTAGAAATGAATAATAATAACGTATCTTTCTAATGTTTCTTCAGTTCTTTTTTTGTATGACAAACACCCAGAGATGAACAGAATGACACAAGTAAAGGAGACAAGGCTGAGTCAAGCATTCAGTTTATTTATATAAACTGAATAAAAAAATAAATAAAACAGTAGAGTCCTTGCAATAATGCCTAGGAGTCTGTTTAGACTTATTTTATAAATGTAAAGACAGTAAAGTATATTCTGAAAGTGCTAAATTTTGGTTTCAGTGACACACTTGTGTTGTACACACAAATGTGCAACAACTTATGTGTTTATAAAAAAAGGAAAATCCAAGTTTTGAAACAAAAGGTCTAGAATACATATAGTTGGGTCTTTATAAAAACAAATATTTCTGCCACATCATTTTAAAAAATGATGTGGCACCAGCACAAATCTGCCCATAAGCATCGTTTTAAACATGCTTATGGGCATGTTTAAAACCCAAAACCCATGTTTATAAGGGGCAGAGTAGCACAAAGCGCAAAACTGTGTCAGCCAATCACAATCCTTCAAATCAACTACGACTTCCTATTAAGAATTAAATATGGTGCCATTAAGTTCATTTGTGTGGACATAAATGGAGGTTGAACTATTTTTAAATAACATATTAAAATACAAAGCTAATAAAACAAGATGTTGTCGATTGGGAATCGTGAAAGCAAATATGTAGACATATTGTCGCAAACCCTACAGTTAACCATGAACACACTCAAACACAAATATTAAGTTTTCTCAAAACTCCACTTTGGTCAGTGCTTTCATAATTGTTTTTAGTTGCATAAAACTGTTTTTGTGTGGATAGAAGCCAGAACGCACTGAAATATGTTGGTTCCAATATTTCTGACCATTTATGGACTAAGCCAAATAAAGAAAATGACAAGATCATTTCCTAATTGTGACTTCCTACATTAGCCCTGTGAGAGAAAGAGATAGCTGATCCCAGGTTGTTCAGCTCAGACAAACGCTCTGAAAACTGCTTTATAATGTTAATCAGGCTCCAATGAAACAGCAGGAAGAACACAAGTACATTGCACTTTTTAAAATAGATCATTACAAACATAAAAATCCAATTATTTACAATACGCTCAGAAAAATGTAAATGAGATGTGTTTTTAGAAAACACCAATTTTATCACATATATGTGGTTCTACTAACAAAAAAATTGTTATTCAACAGTTTTCCACTTTTTTAAATGTTTTATCAGTGTAATTCTGTTCATACTGAACAGATTGAAACATTTCAGCTTAACTTGAGAATCTTTGTATTATGGAAAACCTTTTCTCCAGGAACTCCAGCTTCCCTGGATCCTCACAGCTTAATTCTGAATCAGAGGAGGAAGAAGAGGCCACTGCCAAGGCTCAGCACAGAAACATCAGTCAGAGCTGGAGTAAACGTGGGTCTGAGAAACAAACTAAAACTGAGAATGAAAACAATGTTGTAGTGGAAGTAACTTCTTCACTCAACATTCCATGTGTATGCACAGGCAGGATTTATGAATAAATGCTGAGTTAGAACAAAAATAAAAGAAAATGGAGTAATTTTTCCTTTTCTTATAAGACTTTAGAAGCTTGAGTGTGAAGATGTATGTGGATTCAGTCAGATGGATGTTTGGAACACATCCTCCAGCTCTCTGACTCGGATTGTATAGTGACACAATTCCATGTGGCGCTCACACGTCATTCAAATGAACCACCCGGTTCGGGCCTAATGGGATTATTGGGTCGTACTGGGACTGCTGCTAAATAGGACTGATCAGATGAATGGCATCAGCTGGATTTTTCGGGTTTCTAAGAATACCACTGAATCACTGGTCTGATGATCATAACCATATCCTCATATCCAAGTCATGCTCCTTTTTTCCTCTCTAAAACACTTGTTCCTTTTTTCTTAAGGAGGTCCCACAGCAGATCAGAATGTGATGTTAGTGAGTCACGCTCCCCTTTTGCTCCACAGTTTCACATCCAGACCGTCCCTGTTCTCAGTCCACTTTTTCACACACCTGCAAGACTTTGTTATTGAAGTCATCGGGCTGGTCGGCGAAGACGTAGTGTCCAGCTCCACGCATGGTCTGCAGGAACAGGAAGGAAGCAGACAGATAGAGAGTGCTCACAAAGGAACTTGTTGAGGAAGACTGGCAGCTAAATACAGCAACTCAGCATGCAGTCACAAAAAAAAAAAAAATAAGATTCCAGAACTTGGTGTAACAGGGGGGCACTTGTTGAAGTTTTCTGGCTGATCACAGATTCTGATTTTGGCTGACAAAAATTATTTTAATAACGTAATAAGTTTACAACACACCGTCCATCTTCCAGTAGCTAAGGAAGATCATAAAATAATGCTAAATATAGTGACCAAGTTGCTCAGTTGGGAAGAGTGAAGTGAATATGATAGAAGAACTAGAAGATAAAATGAACATATAAAAAAACTAACTTACATACAAGAAATACATTAAATTTAATTGTATAAATAGATAAACTGTCATTGATACTGCACAGCTGAAATGCTGCACATTTATCCTGTTCTGTGCTGCAGTAATGCTCCTGTGTCATGGTACAATGTACACTTTTAACACTCCTCATACCATGATACTGCCACCACTGTACCGGAGGACAATGAGCATTAACTCACAATAATCTCCACATGAGAGTTTGTTCTCATCTCTTTGATGGAGGCGGCTGAGGTGCTGTCTATGCTGGAGCGGGAGCCATAGATGATGGAGATGGGGATGTCAGGATGCAGCTGGTCTAACCTCTGCAGCATGGGCCTCTTAGCCCAGCCGCATAAACCCGTCATGTTCTTAAAAGCAGTCTCTCCGCTGTGAGTGTACAAAAGTTTTGGTAAGTGATGTTGGGTGGTGTAGGTGGTGTTAGGGAAGGAAGAGAGGAGCAGGAGGAAGCAGACCTGGGAGATTGGACATTCAGGTGGTAGATGTACTCTGACACGGTGTTGTCTGAGAACAAGGAGGAGAACTTCTTCTTGAAGTCGGGTCTCAGTGTCTGAACCAGAGTAGGACCTGCAGAGACACCATCAGCCTCAGCTACAACATCACTGCTGTAACCTCATCTCTTCATTCCCTTTGCAGTTAATGCCAGAGTTGGAACCCCAGTTTAATGTGCATCGGACTCTTACCGAGGGGTCCGACCAGCCTCAGGCCGGCCAGCGGGTTGAAGGGACTGAACATCGCTCCGAGAGCTTTGATCCACACTGGAATGGGGCGGTCTGCTTCCACCATCTCCTGAACATCAGGAAAACCCCACGGCTCCACCAGTACCAGGTGTTTCACTCTGTATTGGGAGGAAATGTTCAGCTTAACATGGACTCGGGGCTTCAACTCCATCCAAACAAATAAAGAGGTGGCATTCTGCTAACACATTGATGCTCAATGTTTTGCTAACAAACAACCCACCAATGTAATTCTGTGCATGGAGTGAAAACAGTCTTGGTGAATATTTGACAACAAACATGTTCACTGCATTCAGAGGTGTGTCTCCATCAGCTTTAAAGGGACAGTATTATGCATTTTTCAGCCACATAGTATAATTTTATGACACACTCAAGTAACTACTCTAGCTTCAGCTGATGTAAAAATGGTATATATATATATATCATACAACTTTTAAAAAATTGACATTGTAATTTAATGCCTTGAAATCAGGGCTCTGTCTCTTTAAAAACTCCTGATCTTTCTGAAACCCCACCCTCAGGAAGACATCACAACATGGCTCCTCTATTAACCCTTTAACAAAGTTTCTGAGAAGTAGCTCCTATAATGAGCTTGGCAGATGCAGTTCCACCAGGTGTTTGCTAATTGAATAGTTGCCTGCTAGTTTGAAGGACTAGCAGGCAAGAAGAGGGCTGCTCTGTGCAAAGATTGGCACTAAGTCTTGAAGGTGGGGCTAGGTCCAACCAAGCATTTTGCATTTTGAATGGTTGCCATGGGAGATTAGAGGATTTCTCAAACATGCATAACAGAACCAAAGCAACACTGCAGGTCTGTATTTAAAGATTGAATACCATCATAACATAATGTAAAACTCTTAATAAGTCATTTTTTTCTTCATACTGTCCCTTCAACATCTACTCTGAAATGTTTTTACATCTTTCCAAAGTATCTTGAACTCAGATAGGATGGAGAATGTCTGTCATCATCATCTTTCAAGTCTTACTACAGATTCTCAGTTGGATGTATTTGTAAGTTTTTCCTTCCAGTTCAAAAATGGAAAATACTCTGTTAGTTTTATACAGTAAAGCACATAATTGTTTGGGATGGAATCAGGAAAGAACATGTACGAGTATGAAACCTTTCAGAAGGTTAGCTAAGAATCTAAATCTAAATCTTCTAATCTTCAGGAGGATAAGAGAAAAGAGTTCATCTGAACTCACCTGACTGGATATTTAATAGCATAGGACACAGCCAGGAATCCTCCCAGATTGTGACCCAGGATTATCATGGACTCCACACCCACTTTGGCCCTCCACTGTTCAATAGACTCCACAAACTGAGCTTCTGCTTCCAGAGGGTCGGTGGAGAAGACAGGCCTTGTGCTTTGGCCAAAGCCCAGCAGGTCCAGAGCGTAGACCGGCCGATCCTGTGAGAGAGTTTCCACGTTTTGAGTCCACAGACCCACGCCACCTCCAAACCCGTGCAGCAGGACCATGGGGGTTTTATCCTTAACACCGTCATTGCAAAAAGTCAGCGTCCACAACATGTTGCCACAGGAGATGGAGACAAATTGCTTGGTAAATGCAGTTTTGATACCTGACAACAACAAAAGGAGCCATGAGACAGAGAAGGAAAAATGATTAGAGGATCAAACATAGAATACTCCCAACAACCATGGACTAGACCACTTGGTAGAGTGGGTGAGTAATTCGACAGGCAAATAGGAGATCTGATGCTCCTTGGCCTGCTGCAATAAGCAGTTGATCAATGTGTTGCATGATAAGTTAAAAAGAACTTAATCAATTCTATTGTGATTTTATATCTTTTGCAAGGCCATTTTGCTTGTACTTCAATTTACATGCATTCATGTTTCAGTTCTGTAGAGTATTTTCTTCCTTTTTATTAATTGTTTTAGGTTGTCATGTTTCACTTTGGATATCGAAAATGTCTTCCAGTTGTAATGTGGCATGTTTTGTACAAAATCAGAATTTATTGGACTTTGAGAGGGTGATCTTGCATTATGACTTGGAAATGGTTTCAAAACAACATTGTTTTCAATTATCACAATAACTTCTGCTACAATTTATCACCCAGTAAAATTTGTCATCATGGCAGGCCCAGATGCTACAGATAGAGATCTTGTCAGAGGAAGGTATAAAACACCATCTGTTTCTATGATCAGATTCTAACAGGAACAGTCTTTAATCAGCTTTAGGTCCATAAGGATCAACTCTGCATATATATCTGGCACACAGATCTAAAGCTGGAGTTTAGCGAAGTGAAAGAAAACTAAAGTGCTATCCTTTTAATGTGTTCATGTTCCCAGGGCAGTGATTGGCTAATAAAATACGGACAGCTCTGATCCTTACAGCTCAGCATCCTGTCCTCTGCAGCCTTCAGCTGGCTCTGAGAGGTGGGACACCATGATGGCAGCCAGTCTGGGATCCGGCACCACCTGCAAACACATAGAGGAAAACTTTACTGTGCGTGTATTACCTAATATCATCTTTTCATGATTCAATAGCAGTTTTAGAGAAATGACAAGTTGTTCTGCTGGTGCCTGGGTGAAAGGGTTTTCTGATGCAAATCTTTGTTCAGTCTTGAATTCATGAAGCAGGAGAATCAACAATCTGACTGAACAAAACAGATTTCCGTCAGAAATCACAAAATCCAAAGACGTGAAGCAAAAACATCTTACAGAGAAGGGAAATGAAGAAAGTAATGCCCTGTTCCTTTTTAAGACAGTTTCACATCCTCATCAGTTTATTGTACTTTGCATGATTGAAAACAGGTTTAAGACCACTGTGTAACACCAGTTCACTTGTTAAGTCAAGTCAGGTTTATTAGTATAGCTCAAGTCAAATCAAAGTGCTCTGCACAATAAAAACACAAACAAACAGAAAATCTATTGCATTGCATTGGCAAAATAAAGAGAAGTAATGAAGAGTTGGAATCCAGACTAAAACGAATTACAGTATGTTGCAGTCGCTATTAATCAAAGGCAGCTACAAAGAAATTGGGTCCTGGTCTTGATTTCAAGGAACTCAAAGAACTTGTCTCTGAAAGTTTGTCCCAGAGGTGTGATGCATAGAAGCTGAATGCTGCTTCTCCATGTTTGGTTCTGGTTTTGAGGATGCAGAGCAGAACCAGAACCAGAAGATATGAGAGGTATGAAAGGTTGATACAACACCAGCAGACATTTAATATATTGTGGTATTAAGCCGTTCAGTGATTTATAAGCTAACAACAGTATTTTAAAATCTATTCTCTCTCAGGGGAAGGACTCTAGAACTGGGAGATGTTCTAACCTCGCAGTCACACATACACCCCCATCCCCCCACAGCCATATTGTTCTGCACTTTGCACTTATCACATCATCTGCCCTTTGCCATAATTGGACCTGCTGCTTCTTCTTTAGTGTGGTTGAAGTGCCTTTTAGTTAATTTTAGTTGTATATATTGTTATTATTGTGTATTTATTTTATTTATTGTATATATTTGACTTTTTGCATGGGAGTTGCAATGGAAATTTTGTTGAATCCTGTTCAATGACAATAAATGCAATCTATCTACCTAGAGTCTTTCCAGCTGTAGACGAGCTGTTAAAGTTTTAGTCAGAGCGCCAGCAGCAGCATTCTGGATCAGCTACAGCTGAAGGTTTGATTTCTTTAGGCAGACCTGTAAAGACTCTTTTAATGTGGCTAAAGATAAACACATGGATGAGTTTCTCTAGATCTTGCTGAGACTTTGGTGAGACATTAGTCTTCTCATCCTGGAAATGCTCTTCAGGTGACAGAAGATTGACTTTGTAACTGTCTTCATGTGACTCTGAAGGTTCAGGTCTGCATCTGTCACTACACTACAAAAGCATGATTAATATAGACCTGCACCAATTTCAGTGACTGTGAAAGGAGCCTGTGGCAGCTGCAGACATCAGGAATTACCTTATGGCATTACCCACATAGATCCAAATGCCGCTGGCCAGACTGGGAAGTCCAGTCACAGATAACGCTCTCTGCACAATCCTGCAGAGAAGAAGAGGTGGAGAAGGGGAGAGATCACTGAGCAGGTACAGGAGGGAACAACATGAGTTAAGATCAGGTTCCTACTATAAATTAGTTCTTAAAGATAAGAAGTGTTGCACCGATATATTAAACTAGTCCATAAATCTGCCAAGATTTTTTAAAATTTGGAAGACTTGTGATCAGCAATACTTACATGACTAACATGACAATCCTATGAACTTATGAATTTCTGCAAAAGTCAGAAAATCAAGCGCTGTCCCTGTTTGCTATGCTGTGAGAGAGGACTGACTGACAGACTCACTCACCAGATTACGTCTGAACAAGAGCAAGTAACAACAGTCAATACTGGGAACTTTCCAGCAAAATGACTCTCTGTGTCACAAGGCTGGCGTGATAAAGTAGCTAAAAGATCAGAGCATTGCTCAGAAAATGTGGGACTGACTCCAAGAACTAAAGAAGACAAGAATGGGTCTCTGGCTATTTGACAGGATTGGATCGACAAGAACATATCTAGCATGTTGGAGAGAATTCCGAAAATCAGAAACAGCAAAGAGCAGTGGTAGAAATACTCACTTTTTATGTAAGTTATATAGGACAGGTTTTAATTAGTAATTAAGTTAATCACCTGAAATCTTAATATGAAAAACAAAACAAAAAATTCAGCAGCTATCACTTCTTTAATTTGCCAACGATAATGGTGTTCTCTGTGGATGTTTTGGTGACAGGATTTGCTCACCAGAAACAAATGATAGAAAAAAATGACTTTTTTTTAACTTGAAAAGGATAAAAGCAAAGTACAAACTGTTTTTGGAAATGAGTGGAAATGTAAAATTGTGGCCTTTGGATTGTTATTATTATTATTATTTTATGTTTAAACTAAAAATAAGAATCACCTGCATACATGTAGCCTATGCTCTGCAGACTAACAGACAAACCACCTCAGGTTATTTTAGTTTTTTTCCACATATCTAATATGGAAAAATTAACATTGCTAAAATTCTGATTAGCTCTGATAAGAGTTTAAAGTAAAAATGTTATGCCTGTCGAGAACACAATTTCTAGCTTAAACCCTTGTTTTAAATACTAAATATAAATTTAGTTTGATGGTGGTTGTTTTCCACCGTTAAAAAAAATCGTCTTTTCAATTTTATGTTTTGCATTTTAACCAAAAAATATCAGATGCTTTTTAAGTTATTAATTACTGGTTTATTGTAATATTTATAACAATAACAAAAACAGGCAAATGCATCGCATGGCCCGGACCGGACCGGACCGGACCCGGCGGCCGACAACCTGTGAATGAAACCTTCAGAGGTGGACTCTGAGTTCTGGTCCATGATAAACGGGTCAATGACAGCCAAAGGGGGGCGACTGGGGGCTCCGGCTGGAGCTCTTCATCTGAACTATTCGGGTTTAACTTGTTTCGTTTTTTTATCGCAACAAGCAGAACTTTAAAACAGAGCCACACGGAAACTTTCAGAGCGGTTCGAAAAAAAAAAAACATGTAAACCAAATTAGAACATTCTGCACTGACAGCACAAACTTACCCACTGTTGGCCGCCTCCTCCCGCTCCGCCATACTGTAGTTGTTGTCACGTGACTCTCACGAACACAGCGGTACCTCAGTCAAATTGTGGCCGTTCGATTTGTCGGTCGGAATAGCTCCGCCGGGCGGCGATACAGCCTCCTCTTCTCTTTGGAGTTAGACCGCAGTGGTGGTTTTCATCTGGGCAGAAAAAAGGAACAAATCCTCAACTGACAGCTGAGTTTTGCGGAAGTGGACATTTATGTTTTCAGCCCTGCAAACTACCGAGGAGGAATAAGGACTGTGGTGAGTGTTTCAGTGGGATCATCTGATTAAATCAGGAGTTCTGGGAGTACGAGTCACGCTTTCAATGCCTGATTTAATAGAGCAGTTCAGAAGTGATCAGTAGCATTAACTTGTCCCCGTCTCTGTCCACGACCACGTCTTGCCTCCAGCTGCAGATTCCTCTGTTGTCAGTGAATGCAGCTTTTAAAAACTGTATTATTTAGACGGGTAAAACATTGTTACTACAGAGCTGGAGTTTGTTTGTGTTTTTTTCTGCTCTTTTTACCTTCACATGCTTACTTTTGAAATTAGCGACTTATATTCTCAGTTCACTTACATATATCAACCCTGGTAAAATACAGAATCACTGCAATCAAAGGACGAGGAAGAAATAGTTTTACCATCATGTAAATAAATAAATTAATTACCTTTTCCATTTGAAAATGTATTTGTTTACAAATACAACAATATTAGGAATGGAAGACAGAATATGGAACTTTGTTTTTGGCACGACTTTACAGAGTAAGTAGAAATATGAGGTCAAAAGAATTGAACCTTCATATTTAGGGTTCATGACCACAGACTTTCTTAGAGTCAGCTGTAAATTGTGTGAGAACTTTCAGGAGGAATCAATCCATTTCCCTCTATGAGTGGAGAATCATGCTCTTCTCCACTGGCTTTATTTGCCTCAACATTTTATGCAACAATTTCATTTGAGCTCTGCTTCCCAAATATTTGGAAAAATAATTTTCCAGAATATAAATGTGTACGTGATGAACTTTTAAATCATTTATGTCATTTTTGTAATCTTACTTTACTCAACTTTCTCCAATAGATCTGCTTCCATATTTTTCTAGGTGAATAATAATAATAGTAGGAGTGATGATGATGATGATGATAATGATGATGATGATGATACTACTACTACTAATAATAATAATAATAATAAACAAATAATCTTGTGATGACAGTATAAATATAAAAAAATACATGTATATTTAAAAAATGATAATAAGAGTAAAATAAGAATAATAAATTATAGTACAAAATATTATACAACTACAGCTGGTTATTATTACTATAATATTGATCATTGTTGTTATTACACAACATTGAGTTTGATGTTAGTTTTATGGTACCCAATGTATTTCAGTTTAATTTGTTTTTGAAATAGTTTTTCACTCAGCCTCAGTCCAAAATAGAGAGGAAAACATAGAAAAAGTGAGATTATTGATGCATTATTTAAATTCTGTTATATTAAATCAAGGATTTGATCAAATGTTATTCGCAATAGAAAGAAATAGACACTATCAATGAATACTTCACATTCACTGTGAGTGAATGTGAAGCAACATTTCTAAAAAATGTTTCATTCTCTGGCATTAGTTGGTTTCATTAATAGTAATCAGACAGAAGCGTGCAGAAGGAGATGCAGGAAGGACGCGCATCAGGTCAGTTAATAATCTGCATTCTACTGCAGTGATGATTGGTAGACTGGATATGGAGCAGCTGCTCAACAGCTACATCAAAAACACTTTCATGGGCATCTTATTCCAGCAGGGGGCAGCATCATGACTGGAACCTTCTGTATTTCATCTTTTTTTAACTCAGGAGCCACCAGCTGAACTAATCTCAGCCCACACCAGGTTGTGGGCTGAGATCCCAACAGTTGAAATCTACACAGCGTACACACACACACACACACACACACACGCAGCTCCTTGTCTTCCTGACCAGGCTTTTCACAGGTCAGCTGGGGTCCAGCTCTAAGATCTACTACATGGTGAAGTCCGTGTGTTTACAAAGAAGCTGAGGTAGGACTGAATCAGCGTGTAGAGCCACAGATATTAATATCCTGCTGATAAGAGGCTCCGCCCTCCGACTGTCTATATATATGTCTGTTTGTCTGTCTACTTCTGTCAGGGTCATTCTGCTCTGCTGGACTCTTTCCTTTCCATTTCTGCTGAATGACGCGTGTTCAGCACTACATAGCTGGAATAACACATAGAGGTTCCTCCATAGATTAAAAGATCACTTGATTCCTGAATGTTCTCAGTGAACAGCGTCCACCTGACATACCTTATGTAGGAATGTCAGAGAGATTTTCTGAACATTTTCCTTCTCTGGATTAACTTCCAGTGGCAACTGGTCTGGGCAAGCAAAAGATCTTTTCTTTCTTTTATATTTCAAGATGTTATATCTAGTCTTTTGTGTACATTTACATTTGTTTATAGCGCCCACTTGTACTGTCGTGGTCTGCTCCAATTGAGGATTGTTTTGGTTCATTCACACCTGATGGTCTGGTAGACTGGATTGGGGACCAAAATTGTAATATTTGTTCCATTTTCAGCTGCTGTGGTTCTGTTTCACAAAAGCTTTGTCAGTTCACTTTAGTCGAACTCTGGTTTGGTTGCTTAGAAAGTCCAGTTTATTTATGGAGGTATGAATACGTAGTCCATCTCTGACTTGGACCAAAATGTGAACTCTATGGTTTGAATGCATATGTGAACGCCAAGCAAACCGAAGACCACTCCAAAAGTAGGAAGCAGACTACAGCACAGGGCATTCTGGATAAATACAACCAAAACTAACCTGTGAGCCTAGCACTAGCAGAAACAACCCTTGTGGTCTTTTACCAAAGACAAAAGAGAAATCTTCCAACCGCTAATATCTGATGCCACTCCATTTTTGTTTAGAAAGTTATTCCTACTCTCTTATTAAGATAATTTTGTGTAGTTTCCCTCAGTGGTTCTTCGTACAGCTGCCCATGGTTGAGGAGGTGAACAAGTTGGTTTTTCAAAGGTTTTGTTTTGTTTGACCACAGCAGATAAAAATGGAACAAAAGTTGGAGTTTTGGTCCTCAGTTGAACCGAGACTACTGGACTATCACCTGTGAAAAGATCCTTAATTTCAAACTGTTGATTCATCCCAGTTCAGTGCAATGCTTTTTGAAATAATAAGTCTCATTGCCGTTTCTGCTGCAGAAGCTCCAGCCGATGGGACAATGCAGCAGTCAGGTGACAGCGGCGCCCCTTCCTTCAACCCTCTAGTGGTGCTGGAGTTGATGTCTGACACCAAGGAGGAGGCCATCGCCTGGTTGCTGAGCAGGATCACGGCCCCACAGCAGGCTGGAGGTGCGACAGTCAGGTAGTGGTTGCTCTCCATTAGATTCCACATCGTCGTTAACATTCTGTCTCTCACTCAGGTGCTGGGTTACTGGTGGAGCAGCTGAGTCCTGGAGTCAGCACTGAGCAGAAGGACAACCCCAACCTGTTTCTGGTGGGGGCGTCCTGGGAGAGGCTGCTGTCTGGAGCTGAGGATGTGGGCCTTTTCAAGGAGTACAGCGACGGCTCCATGAGAGGCTTTACCTGCGTCAACAAGCACAATTTTAAAGACTTTCAAGGTCTTTAAAATACAAAAAATGAGCAACGTTTCCATTCAAAAACTTGTTTGTGAATTATTGAATGAGCTTAACAACAAAGATATTTCTTTGATTTTGTAGTTGCTCCCCAATAATGCTTACATTATCTGCATTTAGCATTGAGGTGCTATTTTAATTGTGAATAGCTTCGCTGATAGGCTAACGGCTTTTAGAAAACAACTTGAACACAACACCAGACCTTTCCAGCGTCCAATCAGATCGTTTTTTGAAGCAGAAGTTAACCCCTCCAGGGCCAAGAGAAGCAGCTTCCTTATCCAGTTTGTGGATGACGCTTGTGTACAGATATAGCAGAAACATGCAAGTATGAAAGTTCCAGTTCAGGACTTTTGTATGTAAAAAAATGAAATCAAATAATGTGATTAAACTTTGTTAAAAATGTTTAACTCCTTAAAGTCAGTCAAATTAATTCTTTGAGATGAAAGCGTTGAAGTCTCAACCCTAGCTGCCATGTTTCAAAAAAGCAGCTCTCCTGTTGCCACGGTTACCGCAGCATTATGTCAGACACCTCAGAGTTTATTAGATACTCTACTCCAGTAGGACAAATTCAGATGATCACAAGAGCCCTCCAAAAACATACACTCAATGTGTTTTATTGTGCATTATACTGAAGACTGAAAGAAAATGATCTTTAATTGGCTGCAGGACTTTTGGAGTCTGTCTCTACCATCTGCTGGTGTTTGTGAAACTGCTCAAAAATTGCTAAGTTAGATAGAAAGCATCTGTACAGCAGCTTTCTATCCTAACAGATTCTCACTGCATTTAGGTCTGGACTTTGAGTAGGCCATTGTAACAAATGCTTCAGTGTAACAAAATCTGTAGTAGCTCTGGCTCTGTGTTTAGAGTTGCGGAAAATATCCCTTCTCTCCAGTTTAATCTTTTCTTTAGGCTCTACTGAGAAATGTGTCCCCACTAACCCATTACAAGCTGCTGCAGAACCTCTGGCCCACACAAAGGAAACCATCTGTGATCTTGTTTTTTTGCCTCCAGGGGATGGAGACGGCTTCCTGAGCATGGCTGAGTGTCAGTACATCATCAAACATGAGCTGGAGACACTGAGAGCCAAAGATGAGACTCACGTACCTGGATACAGCCATGCTAAGCTTTATCCAGGGAAATCTATCAGTGAGCGTCTGACTGCATTGCTTCTGTTTCTGTTTCTGCGTTTCACTCAAACACCAGACATTCATATTAATCTATTCACATGTTGCTCTCTTGGATTTCCTCATCTAATTGTAGGACATGTCTACTTTCAGTCTTTTTAAATGACTTTTAAGACTTATGTCTTAAAACATTAGTCAGTTTCACTGCATGTGAGAAACTAGACTAGCCTTAGTTTATCAGTAGGATTAATTTCACCTGAAGTTGAATATTTAACCTTCCTATTTTGTTGAAACAGTCGCTAACTTTAAACAAAACTTTGCGACTGTCTTTGACTATTTAAACTGTCATTTATGCTCAACGTCTATTTGAGTATAATTGTGATAACGAAGCAGAAAAGAGGGTCATTAAAAAGGCCTGTTTGTTAATTTGCTAAACTGAAGCTCAAATTGACCAATATTCAGACCTTTTTAACTAAAACAATCATGACAGCAGATAAACAGTTGTCCTGTTTTGGCGTGATGAAAACAATGAATATGCAAATATGCTGTAATAACCTCAGAGGGAGACACTAAGCAGCCTGTTTGACAAATAGTCCATTAGCAGAATGCCATCATTTTCTATAAATGACTCATTATTTGAGCACAACAGCAATTAGTGGTTTGGGCAATGAATTGAGCTGTTGAGTTTAATCTCCATCTTTGTGTAGTCATGAGGGAGAGAATGAGGGAGAGAAAAGTAGGAATATTTGTCTTTATTAACATTTGCACATATTCATCTTTACTAGAATTATTGTCTGGACCTTCTTGATATATTTATAGTACGTCAGAGACAGAGTTCTGTAAATTGAGGACAAAAAAAATGGAATCAAAACACTTTTTTTATTATTATTATTTTAAAATCTCAGTACGCAGATTGCTGTCCAAAGGAATCCTGATCCAGATGTTTCCGCTACACCACAAAGAAGAACTGAAGAGACTCTCCTTTTCTTGGTATAAAAAAGTCAGGCTGTCGCTTCAGCCTCTAGGTACGTAAAGCTGATTTCATCATGTCCAGTTCAGTTAACCCTCTCAGGCTCAAATTACTTGCAAAGACTAGCTAAGTAGCACTGAGCTGTTGCAAATCTGCAACATCTGCAGATTTAAGTTAATTTCTATAACACATGTATTGGCACAACATAGGTCATCTGGAGTCCATCCATTCATCCATGCACACAAACACACCTAAAGACAAAATAGAGAGATGACTTTACCTAACCTAGTACCTGGGGAGAATCCATGCATGCATGCAGAAAGGCCCCAGGCTGGGATTTCAAATTCAATTCAAAAATACTTTATTGATCCCAATGAAAAATTAAATAACCCAGAAACCTCTTGCTATAAAGCAACAATCCAAATGACTGCACCAATATCCGGCCAATCATCTTAAGTCACTGTACATTTACATCCAATCACACAGATTCCAAGTTGATTCCATACGTTGATCCCAGTTATCAAACACTGCAGTAAAATTGTTATTCGAACTAGTTAGAAATGTCCTTAATGTAACCCAGCAGTTTGCATCGACTCATTGACTATCGTAATCCCTCATACCGAGCATGCATGCAGCAACAGTGGAGTGGAAAACTCCCCTTCAACAGGAAAAAGCCTGTAGCACAATCAGAACCAGGCTCAGTATGAACGGCCATCTGCCACCACAAACCGAGTAGAAATGTGTCAACTAACGTTTACTGATTTTTTTCTTCCTCTGGTCTATGGCACATCTAAACCCTGATGAGGGTTAGCATTGTTTTCATCCAAAGTGACACCGGCTTCTTTGATAAGAAAGTAGTCTTTAATCCTAGTGGAAGCAAAGGAATGTTCCCTATTTGTGGATTAAAACATCTAGCTGTTTGGGTTTAACAATAACAATCTTTATTGTCATTATAGAACCATCCAATAAGTTACATGGATTATGACAAAATTGGTGAAAATAGTACTCTAGGGTATTTAATGTCCTTATTGTTCCCGGGTATAAACTGTTCTTCAGCCTGTTTGTCTTTGTTTTAATGCTCCTGTATCTGCAGCCGGACGGCAGCAGTTGGAACAAATTGTGACTGAGGTGTGACGAGTCTTTTAAAATATTCTTGGCTTTCCTGAGGCAGCGGGATCTGTGAAGAGAAGGCAGAGAGCAGCCGATGGTCTTCTGAACAGATTTTACGATTCTCTGGAGAGTCTTTGTGCAGCTGGGGAACCACACACAGCAACAATAGCAGATGATGGTTTCAATAGAACATCGATAGAAGGACACCAGCAGTTTTTGAGAAAGAGTGTTCCTCCTGAGGACTCTCAGGAAATATAGTCTCTACTGGGCCTTCTTTGCCAGTTCTGCTGTGTTTACATCCCAGGTCAAGTTATCCATAATGTGAACTCCCAGGAAACTGAAGTTTGACTCTCTCTCCACAGGCTCTCCGAAGATGTTTAGTGGTTCAATGTCTCTTTTCCTTCTCTGAAAATTCAATATGATATCCTTGGTCGTGGCTGTGTTGATGATCAAGTCGGTGTCTGTGCACCGTTCTGTCAGTCGCTCCACCTCGTTCCTGTAGGCAGACTCATCGCCTGCGTTCATTAAACACAGAACCTACTGTTTGTGAATGTGCTCATAGACTGAATGAAGTTTAAGCTTTCAGTTTAACGAATATTAGTAACACAAAATGTGCTGATCAACATCAGAGGAACATTGGCTGAGTTCAATTACTCTCAGATTGATTGAAGCATCAGTAAATGTCTGAGCATTACTGTTAAGTTAGTAGATATTCAGAGACTGTAATGTAATGTGATGGATTCCATTTTCCCCTGCCATGAAATATTAATGTTTTAATGTGTCATTTTTCTTACTGAACACTGTCAGTACTCCTGCTTTGGTCTTTACTTTGCTCTTTCTCTTTCCAGATGAAATCAGACACTACTATGGTGAGGGCCAGGCACTGTACTTTGGCTTCCTGGAGTACTTCACCTTTGCCCTGGTGCCTATGGCTCTGTTTGGAGTGCCTTACTACATGTTTGACTGGGAGGATTATGATAAATATGTAGCCTTTGCTGGTTTCAACGTGGTCTGGTGCACAATTATTCTGGAGGTATGAAAACTTATTTTACTGACTAAAGAAAGTTTTTACACAGCACAAATAACTGCAGAAGTAAGCAGTTTTGTCTGTGTCAGCACAATGACAGAAAGGAAAGATGGCAGCAATGATCCCTCAGAAGAAATCATTGCCTCCCATCAATCTGGGAGGACTTATCTGGTAGTTAACAGGTAAAATTCACTCTGTAACACTGAGAGGTTATGTCCACATAGAGGACAAGACAGTTAGGCAACAAATCTACCTCAGATCAGTGTGTGAAATAACAGAAACAGGAGCTCCATGTTAGTTTAGCTGCATTTTCAAGGTCATTAATGTCAGAAGCCTCTTGTCTCCCAGCCTAGCATACAGAACATGCTAGATTTGAGTTTAGGAAAACGATTATTAGGACATGATGGCTGTGGCTCGTAGGCAGTGAAATTGTTTGCAATCAGAGGTTAAATTGTTGTAGGTTAAGTTCTAACTCACATGTTTATGTGCCCCTGGGCAAGGCACTTAATCCCAAGTTTCCTGCCAGTCTCTGAATTGGTGCACAAATGTGTGTTTGTGAGTGTGGCTCTGACATACCCTAGTTCTATCATGGGTAAGTGCAAATTTATTTCCAGTTGGATGGATGATATTTGTAAATTTCTGTGGAAATATAGATCTTAAATTCCATTTAAAATTGTCTTAAGAAGTCTTGATTTTGAGTTTGCAGAAAAACCTGCTTTAGTGTAAACCTTCATTAGCTCCTTAAATGTAAAAGCTTCAAACTTGTTAGAAGGTTTTGTAAATACTGAACCTCAGGTTTCTGCACACCTCTGATAAAGTGTTCCTATTTTGTGGGTGTGAAATATGAAACCATAATAAATTATTTACAAACTTTTCCCACATTTAATGAGATACTTTATCTTGTACATCTCAGCTAGGAAACAAACATGTATTTGGGAGCAGGGGTGGCATTTGTGTAACCGCTTATACCTTTACACTAATAACTCTCGTTTCAGGTTTAGCATTTAGTTTTCTTGGGTTCACAGTTTCCTTCAGTTGCAGTGAGCCAGACTAACTTTAGAGTTCAGCTTGTCCTTGCTGGGTTTCGCTGACTCTTCCGAATGTGAAGCCTTTTGCTAAAGTCATAGTTATCAGAGAGATTAGAATGGATCAGAAGATTCTGAGAGACATTCTGGGAACTTTGTAAGTTCCTGAGAGCAGCTGGTTGTTAATTTAGGAGAGAATCATTTGGCAGCTAGTTTGTGTAAAACTGACAGATAACATGTAGTATTATTTGTTCAGAACCATAGAAGTATGACAGGTTTATCAGACCTTCTCTCTTCTGTGTCCTCTAGCTGTGGAAGCGAACTAGCGCCACCCTGGCCTACCACTGGGGCACGCTAAGCAGAAAGAAGGCCTTCGAAGAACCTCGGCCTGGGTTCCATGGCGTCCTCGGGTACAACCCCGTGACGGATCGGGAGGAGCCTCTGTACCCCAACAGCAAGCGCCTGCTGAGGATCTACCTGGTGTCGCTGCCCTTCGTCCTGCTCTGCCTCTACCTGTCTCTGTACGTCATGATGATCTACTTCCAGATGGAAGGCTGGGCTCTGTCCGTCCATGACCAGAACCCTTCGTTCTGGACAGGAGTGCTCCTTTACATCCCCAGTATTATCTACGCCGTGGTGATAGAGGCCATGAACCTCGTTTATAGATACGCTGCTGAGTTCCTCACAGAATGGGGTGAGCAAGTCTAAACCATCTAAAACTGATCAGTAGTTCATTCTGTACGGAAGCATTTCACTGCCAGAGTTTGGAAATAAATTCAGCAACGGTATCTCATCATAATGAGAAGGTTTCAAATTAAAATGAAAAATTATTATAGAATGCTATATAAAATAATTATTTTTTTTTTCCAAAACATTTTTTATTGAATTTTTGAACAAGTTCTTCTTACAGTTTTTACATGACTCTAATTTCCCACATAGTCAGAGAAAAAAGAAAAGACAACCAGAAAAAAAAAGAAAAAAGACACACAGAACACAGCTTCTCATAAAACGGGGGTGTTCAGACAATTTAGATATAAGTGTACACTTCTATACATCATAGCACATCACAGGTTCCTACAAGTCAGAATTCAAATGGACCCTCTGACAGGTCTAAGTCCTTAATGAAAGTAATGAAAGGCTCCCATATTCTCTCAAAAAGATATTGTTTGGATTTCTTAATATATGTTATTCAATTCTTATTATTTTATTGTTTCTTTCTTCTACCATATAATGACTCTCCTTCTCATACTGTTTCCTCTGGACGCCATTTAAAAATCCCTGGGAGCGACGCTCTTTAACTGTGCAACCTTTCTTATTTGTACAAAAAGATATTTCGTAATTGTTTTACAAGTTTTTTAAAAATCTCCTTAAAATGGGATATTTTTTTTCTCATTTAAACCAGATACTGCTCCTGACTGTTTTTTCCAGCCTCTGGCCGTTAAACACTTCTGAGATTAAATGACACCTTCTTTAATATAATGGTTTGCCACTTATGAGGGCAGTTGCATTCTCTGGATTTTATTTATGGGATCAGAAGAGAAAGTGTTCATATTTTATTTGCCTGAACTTCTAAGCAGTTCTGAACTGTGTTTTTTTTTTTTTTCATATAAAATGGTTTAATGCTGACTCGCTGAATGTTTTTGTTGATACGCATTTAGAAAATCACCGCCTGGAGTCTTCATATCAGAACCACTTGGTCCTTAAAGTTCTTGTTGTGAGTATAAATGACCATGTGTTGTGTGACCACTAACAGCAATCAGTCTGCAGGCTTATGGGGTTATTAAAATGATCACCCTTAATAAATAAAATTATCATCTGAGAAATATTTTTCTTTCTGTTTATATGAAATTAAAATTAATTTGGTGATCTGGAACAATCAGTCAGGATATTTATTCTAGTAAAAATTATTTGTTTGAATGCCATGTTTCAGCAGCTCAAACTGCTTTATATCATAAAAACATCACCCAGTCATCAATTATGAAACAAGCTGTAAACATTACATTTTGTCAAATGATGCTGTCATCAAAATGATCAAGCAAAATTAGCATAAAAAATATTGATCAATATACCAGTTGTTATGAATCAAAGGGAGTTGTAAACAAATGGGCCTGGATTTAAAGGAACTCAGTGTTCCAGCTGTTTTGCCGTTTTCTGGAAGTTTGTCGCTCGTTTCTAGCTGTGATCTGCTCCATTCTGCTCCCACATTCAGGCTCTTATTGACCTAATTTCCTCATTTTGTCGTTTAGTTTAACTTCTTCAACTGTTTCGCCTCGCTGTTCTACATTGCGTTTGTAATGCAGGACATGGTGCTGCTCAGTCAGGTGTGTTCCCTCCTTTCCGGTTTATTTGCTTCTCCGTGTACACCAGTGTTTAGAACCATCTGACATCTTTTCCTCCTCTCCTGCTGATAGAGTCTGGCCACCTTACTGATCACCAGTCAGATCTTGAATCAGTTCATGGAGGCATTCTTGCCTTACTGGCTGCAGAGGAGACGCAACAAGAAGATGAGTCGCAAAGTTCAGAAGAGAAGAACTCCCGGGGACACAGAGCTCCCTCTGGCAGAGCAGGTCCGTCTGGAGGCCGATATGAGCACGTACTTGGTGAGCTCACGTCTTCCAATGAAAGCTACAGCAATCAGCCCTGCAGAGTCTGATCTCTGAGGTCTACTTCTCTCAGGGAACATTTGACGACTACCTGGAGCTCTTTCTGCTGTTCGGCTACGTCAGCCTGTTCTCCTGCGTCTACCCGCTGGCTGCTGTCCTGGTGGTGTTGAACAATGTCACAGAGGTTTACTCTGACGCCTTCAAGATGTGTCATGTGTTCAAAAGACCGTTTGCTGACCCAGCTGCAAACATTGGAGTCTGGCAGGTTGGTATCCGTCAGCTTTATCTGCACAGAGGAACGTGGTGTTTATTCATAAACTGAGGGAACAGCAAAGGTTTAGAACACAGAAGAGAACTGCCCTCATGTTGGCATCCAACTTCATGTAAAGAGAACGTTTTAGGTTGTTGGTTGGAATCTGAGGTGTACTAGATGGATTTCTGTAGACCCTAGAACTCAGTTTGCTCTTATTTATTAATTCCTGTCAATAATTATAAACAATAAGATCTAAGAAAACTGAAATCAAATCACTTACATTAAATAAATCTGTTTCACTGTTTAATGTCAGCATGCTCAGGTTCATCAAAGAGACCTAAACAAAACATGATGTAAAGTAAAAAAGAAACATTTTTCATAAGCCCTCATTCCTCCTTTAAAATGCTCTGACTTTACTTCAGGTCCAATTGATGTTGATTCTGAATGGCTTCATAAAACCCAGTGCATCTTCTTAGCTCCAGTATCAAACCTGTCATCCTTAAACAGTCAGCCAGGCTGATTCAAAGCAGCTGCTGCTGCTCTCTGTGTGCCTCTGACTCTCCGCAGCTCGCCTTTGAGACCATGAGTGTGATTGCTGTTGTGACCAACTGTGCGCTCATTGGCATGTCTCCACAAGTCAAAGCATACTTCCCTGAGTCTGAGACCCAGCTCATCCTGTGGACGGTGGCCATCGAGGTAAATCCACACGACTCATGCCAGCTCCAGGGCTGTTTCCTGGAACATCACTAACATCATAATTGTTTTAGTGTGACTTAGTTCAGAACAAAGAGAAGCTTGTTCGCTTACAGAGGATGCATGAAGCACCGAATAAGTCACTGACATGCAATGAGAACGGCTTTGTACACCATGATGCTCTTATTTTTTTCTGCAGCTTAAATGCTAAAACTACACAGAAAACATGAACTGAACCCAATGGTTTGAGTGAACAGGTAGAAAAACATGCACAATGAACTCAAACTGGTGAACTCGGTTCATTTTTAAGGAGTAATGCAGTGCTAGGTTGTATCATGAGGCCATCCTGGGAATTGACTTGTTCAAAGGAATAAGTAAAAGCCCCAAATTATTCTGAAAATCCCACACCACACCATCAGAAGCAGGACACGCCTCACTGTGTAGGTGTGGATATCCAGCAGCAAGGATTGAGCTGGTGGAGTTTCCCTCACTAGATGGAGCCACAGTCCAGGTTGGTTCAGATGAGAAGAGGTTCTGTGGGAGAGCGTTGGCTGTATGTAATATAGTGTTTTAAAATGATAAAAAATAGGATTTAGCCTTCAATTCAAATTTACTTAATTAAGGACAGCACATTAAAACAATGTTACATGTTAAAAACAGAGGTACCTTGTTGTTATAGTTACGTTTTCTGACCATAGGCTAATTTGCAAACCTTGTCTTTGATTGGACCTTTATTAAAAGTCGCTGAATTAAATGTCTGTGACTACAAGCAAGAAAAACATGAAATTGCATTTTAGAGAAAATTAATTCTACACAAAAGTGTATGCTGTTATTTATTAGTGTTCACATGTTTTTGTGTTTGCCATTGTTTCACCTGGGAATTAAAATCTCTGTTTTTACTGCTGATATAAACTGTTCCACTGCTGAAGGCCTTAAATGCACTAATTATACGTCTTAAATTTTGTTGTCTAAGTCTAATATATTATAGTTTTCTGTCAGACAAAATTTTATTTTCACTTTGTTCTGTGACACCAGGTGGTAACCTGTTAGCTGCTGATATACATTTGCTAGCTAGGATTTTTTGAGTCCATCATGGGAGCACACAAATTTATCGCCAATAGACTGGATGACGGTCGTTTTCTCCACTGGCTCACTTCTCCCTTACAACTGAATGGGTTGTGGACTGGAAACACTGCTTTCTGGGAAAAAAACTTTTATACTGGGCTGCAGGCTGTAGAGAGCCTTATGCAGTTTGAAAAACACCGAAATTTCACAACTTATGCGATGCTTGATTGCGACAACAGCAGGATCACCAACTATTCCTTATATTTATGTTTTCTGTCTTAAATTTAATTCAAGATGACATTTAAAATGTCTTAGATTTTTCTTCATCTGTGGATATTGATTCTAACTGGAGTCCCAGTGCTTTTACAAATGACTTTGTAACTCTTTCCAGAGTCCAGACTGACTGGTGTCAGAGACTTTCTTCCTTTCATTTTGTTTCATTTTGTCACACAGGCTATAAGTAATTGTAGGGTTTTAAAACACACAGTCTGACAGTAATCAGACCAGTGTGTGACTGCTGATGGTCGCTTTGTATAACTTAGTCCCCTTAATTTAAAAACTGAACTAGTTTTTACTCAGGTTATCTTTGTTGAATCATAAAATTAGTTTGATGATGTGAAACATCTAAGTGTAAAGCAGAAGAACTATTACTAAATGCAGCTCTATAAACACCATGAACTGCTCCCGGAGCCGGTCAGTTGGACTCTGACAGCACGCTGCCTCTCCTCTGTCTGGCGTGTCCTTTGGCCTGGAGCCATTGGAACATGATGGTTGTGGACTGAACGCTGTCCTGGGGTTCTGGCTGCAGGTGAGATGCTGCTCCACTGAGCCCAGGCAGAACCAGGACAGCTCCCAGCATGCAACCAACCTGTAATACACCAATCAGAGCCATTCTGTGTGTTTGTGACGGAGGAAGAGTCTGCTCCTGAGTGTGCTTACTGACAATTTGAACATGTTTCCACTTTATCAATATCATCATCATGCAGATTTATTAGAATAGAGCACAGACGCGGAGCTTCCGCTGATTGAGAGAATGAAGTTGGGTTGGGTTTCCCGGTTGCTGGGCGCCTTGTAGCTTTCTGGCCGCGGTGCTGTGATACCTGGGTAATTACTGTATGGAGCTTCCTCGCATCACTGAGCAGTAACCAGGCAACAGGCCGGGCTGTCTCAGAGTCACAGAGCTGTCTCCTTTCAGAGCAGCTGGGCTTACAGAGCAAACCCTCTGAGCAGAGTGTGCAGCTTCAGCAACCAGCAGCCAGCTGTTTTCATCTGGACCAAACAAGAGGGGAATAAAAATCACGGGTCCGGTTTTGTTAATTCTGACTTTTTTTAGTATTGGTTGACCTGATCCATAGTTTAGTGCATGCAGCTTCATCATATCTTTATATTTTTCAGATTTTGCCAAAATCTAAAGACCCTAAAAACTGAACCATAACCTTTTGAATCTAACCTCAGGCTTACCAAAGACTCAACAGATTTCACCATCTTTAATTATCAAGAAAAGTTGTAGTTACTTTTCACCCAAGTTAGCTTATATTTTGGAAACTGATTTTTTGTATTTATCTTTGTCTGATATTAACATGAGTTTGATAATATCAAACATCTGAAGCTCTGCAGAAAGCAAAATATTCTATATGCGTTAATATTCCGCTACCTGTTTATCATGTTTCATCTCATTCTTTTTGTTTTACCAAACCACTGTGTCATTCTGAACCATCATCATCATCATCATCATCATCATCATCAACATGGTGATCCATATCAGGCCAACACAGTTTGTGTTGGCCTGATGTGGATCTTCATTTTCTTTCATTCAGTGCCCAGAAGGTTCTGGCATTCAAACACTGTGAGTTGGCGGACCATGTGAAACATGAAAATATTAATTATGCCTCATCATTGGTTTGTTTACTTAAAGCCTCCAGATAATATCAGTTTCCACTTTGGTAATCACTCTGCCAGTTTGACTCCTTGCAGAAACCCTCTTTGAGAATAGAAGCATAAATGAGGTTTAAGATAAACATGTTTGATCCATTTTATTCATACTTTTAGTAAGATATTAAAATCTGGAGTTGTAAACTGAGCCAAACTGCCCAGCCTGCAGAAATGCATTCTCTCAGATTGACAGTCAATGCTACATTATTTATGCCGTATTAGTTTGAACAAGATTGAAAGGTTAATTTTTTCACTAACATGGGTGGGTGCCATGTTAACATTCTGGGCAATGGATACAGCAGTATAACTTCTGCCAGAATCTTCAGAAGTGAAACTGCTTATAACTTCTCAGGATAGAAAACCACCTGGATTTATCTGTTCAATTATTTTACACAAATGGTCAAGCTCTGGCTTAAGAGCTTCCTAAAATTCCATGTATTATACATAAGAGTTTTCTCTGATAAGTGATTATTTATTCACATTAAGTTAGGACAGTCTAGGCAATCAGAAAAGTCTGATTTCAGAGGTGATTCTACATGTTAACTCACAAAGGCAAACAGCGGTTAACTCCCTTTATCCTGGCCAGGTTCTTTTCCGTCTGCAGAATAATTTCCATTCAAATATCTCGGTCTGTGTGGTCAGAACAAGAACTCCTGGTAAGGTCGTATTAAAAACCTGAGGATGGATTACTTAACGTATGTTCTGCACAGTCATCAAATGTCCTCAGGCTCCCACCTACATGAAAACATTCACTCACCTACAAATTGTGCCTAAGTTTGATTGTGCTGGTTGCTGGGAAACAGCTACTGTTACGGAGAAGAGAAGAAGAAAACACTTCCACGCATACTCCACTGTCTGAAGAACTGAATCTTTTCAGTGTTGACTCACAAAATATGTGAATAATGTGACATGGTGCACAGATGAAGTCATAGGGCGTGCTTCCTCCCAGATAGATCATCTCTCTCACACACATACAAACGTTTGTATTTGAGTTGACTTCCAATTATAACTGCATTTATGCCTTATAATTGGATAAAAATCACGGGTCCGGTTTTGTTAATTCTGACTTTTTTTAGTATTGGTTGACCTGATCCATAGTTTAGTGCATGCAGCTTCATGATATCTTTATATATCCATCATCATATCCAGACATTTCCCCTACACACACACACACACACACACACACACACACACACACACACACACACACACACATACATACATGTCAGGACTGATGCAAGATACAGTAGCTGCAGAAAACAGATTCAGACCTGGTGCCTGGATAAAACCTGAACACATCAGCCATCTATCACACTGCTGTTATTCTTTAATTGATAACTGTGGCTTTAAATAGTGAGACAACAACACTGCTAAGGAAAACAACAAGCATCAAGAAGGATGCCGTTTAATTCAGTCAGCACAGTGCAGCACTTTCCCTAATCAACAAACAGAGCTCTCTGGTCTTATGGAGTTGTCACATTGATTGAATATGCACAATAAACACTCCGGCTCTTAGCTGATTGCTCATGTTGTTAGAAGCTAATTTATATATCGGATGGTTCAGCAGCTCAAGGTTACCCTGAACCCTGAGGATGTTCAGGCACAAACCATAAAGTGTGTTTTGCCTGACATAATGGAAGTGCTCACACTGCAAGCACTGTCTGCTCTGTCACTGCTGCTCTGAAGCGTGCTAAAGTCATTTTCCTTTCAGATCGGTGATAAAGCTTTATCACTTTCTCCACCACTGTTATGATTCACAGTTATTGGACACATGGACTGAATCTCATATTTGACTGAGAATGATTAGTTTTCCATTTTGTACTCAAACACAACCAGCATTAGAAATAGAAAAGTGGTTTCCTTGGAGACACTCAGTTTATGATGTTTAATGCGAAGCAAATAAGCCGCACAAAGTGAAGCATTTACTTTCTGTTGGAAGCCTATCAGACTTTGTGGCACCAGGAAGCTTGTTAAAACAGCACACTAACTCTGGTGTAGGGTTGTTAGTCTTCCTTCATCTTATCAGCTTCTCCTCATTGGCTCTGGCAGCGTTGGAGATACTTCCTGACGATATGCCAGCCTGAATAAAGCAAAAACAGACTCTACCCTGTGGTGCTTCATTTATTACCTTCTCCTGAACTCAGCAGGCTCTTCCTCTGTGTGGAAGGACAGATTGTATGGAAGGAAGGTGCTGCTCTGCTCTGTTGTAAAGAAAAAAAGAAAGTCCTTGATTTACTGGTCTGTCGCATTTGTGATCATGAGATACAGACCATGACTGAAAGAATGACATCTCACACTCAGACAGCTGAAATGAGCTTTCTCTGTTGGATGGCTGGGCTTTGCTTCAGGGATGAGGGGAAACTTTCTGTCACACAGTCGGAGTGGAACCACTGCTTCCTGCATCACAATAAAAAAAACTGAATTTTGCTGTGTTATTTCTTTCAAACTAAGCTCCCATTACCTCAGGTTGACAAAAGCAGATTTAAATAAACATTGACGATGATGAACTCTGATGTGATTAAACCTTCTCTCTGTTCCTGATTCTTTGACCTTTTTTAACTTTTTTTAGCATGGGCTGCTGGCTTTCAAGTTCATCCTGACGTTCCTTATCCCAGATGTTCCCAAACACATCCAGATCAAACTGTCCCGGCTTGAGTTTGAGTCACTGGAGGCTCTGAAGAAGAAGGTAAATCGATTGGTTTGGATTCTCTAGGACATCTGGACCTTTCTTAGTTCTTAAATATCTTTCCCTTTTAATCGGAAACGTTTTTCTTAGTTAGGCCTCGGCATCTGTTTAAAGAATGAGTTTTCTAGCTTCACATGTTTGTCTGGTGGATCCAGATAACAAACCACGAGTGGCTTTTTGCTAGAATCTGTGTAACTTAAATTCTTCTCATTCTCAGTTTGGAAACTATGGGCTTTTTCTTTGAAACTCAAAATTTTGGGGGTTTGAAGTAGAAAGACATGTTGACAGCTTTGAGCAGATCTTTGAGGCTTCCACCTTTTAAAGAAAACACAAGAGACTTCATCCTGGTGCATTTTAAACCCGAAACTTAACATCTTTGTCGGACGAAAACTGTATCATTAAGAATCCAAAACAGCCTCAGCACTCCTGTGCACCAAAACACGTTCAGAACCAACATAACGAACCCATAACGACACCAAAACATAGAATGATAACTGAATCCTGGCTACTTGATGTAGCTTTTCTTCTGATCTTAGCCTAGCCATGCTTGTTAAATGGTTCAACAGTCATTTAGATCTGATTGCCTCCACAGACTCTTTAGACAGTAAGTCTACTCTTTAGACCAACAATAATGGTAAGTTTAGAGAAAAGTGAAAGAAATCCTGTAAGTCAAACATGACAAACCAACACTAAACAGAAATGGTCACTTCCTCATCCATTTTTCTAGCACCTCCACTGAAGCTTGGACTCTACTCCCCAGAAACATTCACCTGAGGTCATCTTATCAAAATAAGTCACATATTGGAACTATTAACACATGAATTGTCAAGTGACAATGACTCAAACTTTAAACCAGATTATCTTTGGTGTGTCAGTGAGTTAGCATTACCAAGATTATTCCAGGGTTTCCCCCAGTGAGATAAACCTGGCAGGCATTATTTGCCCCCTACAAGTAAAACCCTGTGGGAGGGCTTTACTTAGCCTGTTTATTGTAAACAAGTTTATTTAAATAAGTTGATTTACAGTAAACTTATTTATTGTAAAGAAGTTATTTTACAAGCCAAAGACAGCTTAATGGCTATGTTTACAGTTGACTCAAAGAACTGGGGCAGGCACCAGTTGCTCCGTCTCCTCCCTGCTGGTTGATCTGTCGCTGCGTCTACTTGTGCTTGTGGATCTTGTGCGCCACTTTTTTTCTCTAACCAAACTATTTGAAAGGCGGCGTTGCAGAGCAGGTACATCTGCAGGGCGTTATGAACCCTGCAGGAGGGCTCATTTTTGGACACTTACAGCACCAAGGTACCAACCAAGCCACGACGCTTCCTCATCTCTTAACGTAGAATACAATATATTCAGCGTGAACACCTTTTTGGAGCATGCAGGTGTGTGTTAAACACTAAGCGAGGAGGGAAAGACATCAGCAATGCCACATTCAGAGTAACACTGACAGCATTTCTCCATCCTTCCTGTGACTTTGGGTTTAAGGCCCAGCTTCTCATTCCAGCTGCTGGGTTTTGGCTCATTGAGTCGTTCTCTGTTCTCTTGCTTCTCCAGAGGCAGATAAATGCAGGGTGAGTAGCTTCGGGTTGGTTTTCACTTTGATTGCCATCATTTCTGACCAATGATTCCCCCTCAACTCTCCTCACAGTAATCACACGTTAATACTCTAAAATGTTGCACACTTTTCTAATATCTAAACCCCTGACTCAGTTTGTAATCTAACCCTTAAAGTTCCACAGTATAATACTGCTGCAGCTGTGATGAACTTATTGATCTGTTTTCCAGCATGGACTGAATTCTAACAGTAGAGCTTGTTGTGTTCTTAGGTTTGAAAATGTCTTTTTGTTTTGTTGATCCAGGGATTGGATGTCCAAGTCACATTTGAGAGAGGAAATGCAAACACTCCTAGCGCTAAGATTTTACATTTGAAATGAAATCAATAACAGCATATATTAATAGCAGCGACCTGCAGCAAGCCATAATGTCTGAGAGAAGTTAGACTGATGAAGTCATATCTACATGTTAAATCACATAAAGTTGAACATATTTTTTTGGTTTTTTTCAACTTACAATTTTTGTATTTGCTTTGTTGTTGAATCAATAATAATGCTATAATATTCACATTTAATTGTTGATCAGATGTTATTTAGAGCTAATTATAGGGCCAATAAGATCTTTTACAGAGTTAATTTTGGTAGTTTAAACTTCTAAATCTGATTAAGAACCAGATGTCCTGAACTGAAGTTAAGATTTTGATACGCTGTAAATAAATTTGACTTGATGTTTCTTAAGTGTCTAAAGCAAAAATCTTTCTCTTACAGACACAAGAACCTAATATGGCACAGATATTCCCAGAGGTTTGCTTAATATAAAAAAATATGTTTGGATCAGAAAAATCACAGATGGCCACCATGGCCATCAGGGAAAACCTATTTTTGCACGAAAACTGATTATACTAATCACAAATGATACATTTTGGTGTCAAATCATACATAATAATTGGATCCATATGCATTATATTTGCCAATAATTGTTTGATTTTGAAGATGGCTACCATCTGTGTCATGGAAATTTTTATTTTTGCACTAAAATTGCTAATCGGATTGTTTGTTGTCGAATCGTTGCCTTCATATTCTGAACCATGGAAATCATATTTTCTTGAACTTTTGCTTTACATTTTTCAAAATGGCCGCCAGCCATGCGTTTTGGAGTGACATGTTTGTATCATTTGGCTGAAGCCAATAGGAGAGTATCTTTATCAGCATGGCCTTTTAGAGAAAAACAGGTTAGGCTTGGGAATATGATAGGGCAGCATGCAGTGTTGTTTTAATGCAGATCAGAACAAATATATGTTTGCATTAAATTGGCTGTAGGTACTGTTAGCAGTAGGTACAGCTAACCAAATAGTAAATAAATAAACAAGAATCTGAGCTATGCTAAGATTCCACTAAGATGTGCACAAATTTAGCGGACTCTAACACCAAACTACCAAACACATAAAGAATTTAGCAAAAGCTAACACTAAACCGCTAATGGCTTAAAAATGAACCACTAAGACGACTGTTGCTCTGTTTTTGCTACATGTTATTAATTTAAAGTTGTATGAATAGGATGACATATTTGCCTAAAAGGCTCAAAAATGGCGGCTATTTTGAAATTGAAATAACTAATGAAAAACAAGCGGGGTGATCATGCAAATTGTTGCATGCACACTTGAGCATTTTTTCACAGTAATATGCAGCAGCAGTCAAATTAAATTCCCCTCTGGGATCAACACAGTGTGTATGAAGTAGGATGTGAATATAGCGTGTCATCAGATTGTTGTCCCATAAGCTGCAGCTCCCTTCGTTTCGTGTCTAATAATAACGCGGTGAGATAATTGATGGCTATTGAGTCTCAGGCACAGAGAAGTTTTAAGTTTCTCAGAGTTCACATTCCCCCATGAGACACTCGATCAGGCCGATGAAAGGATTCCTTGGCTCCACACCGCCTGGCTGTGCAGCACCATGTGAGCGGATGAGTCAGCGCCTCCTCCAACCCGCTGTCACACTGGACATACAGTAGCTGACCCATGTTCCCGCTGGACCCAAAGTTTTGTCCTCCTGACATTTTCAGGAGCAGAGATGTCATCGATTGGACTGTTGGTACTCAAGTCGCCTTTGAATCTGTCAAATCTAAACGACAAACCCGGAGAAAAATTAATACATCCTTCTTTTTTTTTTGTGGCATCCTAAAACTTTCACTGGCCCGATGAAAATGTGGTGAGGTGCCACTGGACCATGCATGGGTTCTCCTCACAAACTCCAGCTTCCTCACGCTGTTAGAAATATCCTCATGTTAAATTAATTAGTGTTTCTGCATCACTGTCATCATGATGCATCTGTCAATTTGAGCAATATAAATCTAGAAATGTTGGGCAAGGTTAACTATGAAGACCCAACACGAGTGTAAGAAGTTATCTCTCCAGTAATTAGAGTCCAGAAACACGGTGGTGGCAGCATCATGCTCTTCAGGAGAAGCGGGCAGGCTGCTCAGAGTTGATGGGAATTTGGACGAAGGTAAATCCAGAACAATCCTGGGGGAATCCTACTCTGAAAAAAAGAGAATATTGGTCCAACTTAAAAAAAAAAGGTGTTAATTCCAACTTGTTTTAAGTTGGAGCTGCATTGTGTTTTTGCAGTGTTGGAGGCTGCAGAAGACCTGAGAGCGTCCAGCAGGACAAACACCTGACAGTCTGTCAGTCTCTGTCCTACACATGGATTGTTTATTGGAAATGTGTAAAACTGTCTCAATCAAACGCTGTGTATCACATTGAATGAACATGATTGTGTGTGTGTGTGTGTTTCAGAAAATGCTGGAAGGTGCGGAGTTCAGGAAGAGCGTCCAGTGAGGAGAGGAGGACCTGCAGACTCTGACAACCCACACTCCCTTTTTGTTTGCTTTAAAAAAATAACATCCTTGTTGTTTTTTTAGAGTTTACCATTTTTATGCACAGTGAAAATATGGTTTACTATGAGTGGGTGAGAGGTTCATTGTGGTGGAGAACAGTCTGAGCACTGAAACGGGTTCTGGGTTTGGGGTGATGGACAACTAGAAACATGATGGGATGAATGAGCTGCTGTTCAATTTCTTTGCAGATATGATCCACTGTAAAACATATTCAGTTATTCCAAAGAGTGTTGATGAAATTAACTGCTTTGGCGTTCTTGTGTTGAGCCACTGAAGTCACTTTGGGTTCAGTCAGTATTTTGGTTCAGAACAATACAAACTAGCATGCTCTAATTATAACTGTGTTAAAGGCTGCAAAGTGTGTGGTCACCCGATTGGCTGACAACACAACGCCCCAATGTACGGAAGCAAAAAAGGCCAAAACGATGCGACCACTGAAAGCAACATCAGACTTTATTTTAAAATCTGAACCAGATCCAGCTGGAATTGGATTTATCCGGACTGTTCCATGCAGATGCTTCGGTTTTCCTTTGCACCCATAAACACAATTGCAGCTGAATGCCAAATAATCACAGCGTGTGTTAAATCATGAGTTCTTCACATCCAGGTTAGGGACACATGCACAGCGGCGTGTGAGGGCCATTGTAGAGGGCTGACAAAAACGCTTTGAGAATAATCTCAGGAATTTTCCAGGCAAAATACAGAAAATTCTGAACTCCAAAAGTTGAAATTTTGGGAGAAAAAAAACATTTTAAGATTGATCTCAGAAATTTTCTAGAAGTAGCATGGACATTTCTGAGTTTAAAAAGTATGCAATTTGAAAATAATCGTAATTCAAAAGGTGAAAATAGTAAACCTTTGAAACTGATTGTCAGGGGGAAAAAGTAGCAATGTTTTGACTTTTACACTCCTTAAAATTTTCTAGAGAAACCAATAAAATTTTGGAGTTTTTCGGTTGAAAATGTACTTCTTTATTTTTCTTTCTACAGTGGCCCTGATACGTCATCATACATAAAAGATGAACTGCACTCCTGTAACCGCCTGGTGCCTTAGTTCCCTGCTGTTTATTCTATAAAATGTACCAAAGCTGCAGCAGCAGGTTGCTCTGGATCAGCCTTGGCATCAATAAACTAACAACCCTGGAACTTAAGCATGAGTCCAGTTTTTTCCTCTCTTCCAACAGAAGAGATTTTCCAAACTCTCCTTCTATTATTTGATTTCATCTTCAGAGACACGAGCTGTCAGAAACAGAGTTTGTGTCCAGCGGGCCATGACGTGTTGAAGGAAACCGGCCCGTTTGTCTTCCTCAGAGTGTGTGAGGAGCACACTGCATGCCAGCTGCTCTGGAAGCTTCTGGGTCATTTGAGCCGAGAGGAGATCTGATAGAGAGCGCACCTCCTCAGCGCCATGCAGCTGAAAGCTTTTCAACACCTTTTGCTGCTCTGCCATTCAGAGACCCTCACAGCTCCCATCTGAATCACATGAAGACAGACCAACAAAGTTCACTCAGCATTGGAGCCGAATGGACAGAGAGGCAGGAGGTCCATGAAGCAGGACAGACAGAAACAATCTAGTTTATGAACTATGAGAACGAGAAGTGACGTCAGTCCTGTCGGAATTTAAGACGGATTTTCACTTCCCAACCTGATCTCTGGCGCAGATCCTGGGGAAACCCAGGCTGGACGGTTGCTTGACCTTTTGGGAGGCAGAGCTGGATGCCTCTGGCCGGGTCGACACTTCTCTGTTTTCTCCTGTTCGTACTCATCAGCTCTCCAATCCAGGGCAACACTGGCAGGACTTTAAGGTTAGTCTGAGATTCGTAGAAACACACAGAGCAAAGGAATCCTGTTGTTCCACTTCAAGTCCTTTAAAATGGACTGAACGAAGAAAATCCCAAATCTACATCAGGCTGGACTGAAACCTCCAGCTCCAAACAGCATGGAGAAAAGCATCATCTCTGATGGGATGAAGACTGAGCTGTCTGAATGATGGGAGACGTCAGGGTGAGGCTTTCAGACCAAACGACTCTGGACCAAAACCTGCAAGTTGAAGCTTAAATAAAAATGCAGAAAATGGACTGAATATGACTTTGGATGGGATGAAACAGCAGTATAGGGGCAGTATCGTGTTTTTCAGGCACATAGTGCCATTTTACAACACAATCAAGTAAATATGTTACCTTCAGTTGCTACATCATAATTTGAAATTGGGCCTCTTTAAAAACAACTGCTCTTTCTCAAATTCTGCCTTCAAGAAGTCATCACAACATGGCTGTATATTTATAGCCATTAATATTTTTTACCAGTGTTGCTCTGAGAAGCAGCTCCTATAATGTGCTCAGCATATTAGCAACCACCAGGTGGTTGGAGGGCTGCTCTGGGAGATGGAGGCTGCAGCTCTGAGGAGGAGCTGTGCCTCGAAGGAGGAGCTAATCCCACCCTGGCGTTTTGCATGGAGATTGAAAGAATTCTCCAAACATGCATTAAAAAATCAAGGCAAGACTCCAGATATGTTTTTGATGAAGAAATAACATCACAACATAAGGCTTGAAGATGTTGATTTTACAGAATATTAGCCCTTTAACAATACGGTGAGCTTGATATGTGCATGTGCTTAAATCTGAAACCAAATAATAAAACACACAAAAAATACACTAAGATCACATGTAAAAGACAAAAATCAACTTTTATTTTTTGGGATATTACTAGAGCTATATGTATTGTCTGACAACAGTTATCAACTACAGAATATTACAGTGATGTTTTTTTTTTTTTTTCCTGTTTGTTGCCTTTTGGTCCAGTAGGATTTCTGTGGCTGATTCTGCTCCAACACTGAGACACATGCACATCATTCACCTGAAAACAGCTGAGTAAAGACAACAGTCAGACACCTGACGGTATGAAGAGAACTGTCATTTTGCCCACGCGACTAACACATCCATACAGGATTACTACGGTCATTATAAGGCTAGTTTTACTGTACAACTATGCACCAAAATGTTCTAGGTAAAGAGAGCACCATATTTACAACTCTATGTACATTTGGTTCTTCAGGAAATCTCCGATGAAACTAAAAGTTGACGGCGGCCGCTGAGAAGCTGCTCATGTTTGGAATCGACAGAAAAAGTGAAGCTAATGAAACGTCTGTACAGATAGCTGCAACACATGCTATAGCTTATTGCCAATGCCCTAAAACATGGCCGCTCCTCCACTTTCTGCTGACTCTCATATGGCTGATTTTTTAAAAAACAAAACAAAAACTCACACCGGCAAGAAACAAATAAAAACAACGAAAAATCAAACAGCAGACATTTCATAAAATGTACATGTTTAAAAAATACATTTTTCATCTTCATAACGCTATATGTACACAACACATGACTCAGGAGCCGCATGAGCAGTGAGCTTTGGGAGACTTTCTGGTGCGAGGAGGAGAAAACCAAAATCTATCAGCTCATTTTCTCATAGCTAATGAGAATAAAATAAAAAAATCGGACATTAATCTGACAAATTTGACTTTTTACAAAAAAGTCGGAATTCTGACATTAATTTTAATCTTTTAAAGTCAGAATACTGAGAGAGAGAGAAAAAAAATCTAGATCCTTACTTAAAATTTCAGGATTTTGACTTTTCTTAAAATTCTGTATAAAGATCAGAAATCCAAGAAAACGTCAAAATCCCAAGAAGAAAGTTAGAGGTGACACTTTATTTGACTGTCATAAACATGACTTAACACCTGTTATGAACATGAAGGACTCTTCATGAATGTTTATGATTGTTGTCATCAAGTGTCATTCGGTAAATAAAGTTGCATTGAAACTTGAATTAAAAGTCCATTAAAATGCTCATGATTCATGAAGAGTCTTTCATGTCCATGACATCATGTTTTATCTTGCTTATGACAGTGTTACCATGTTGGAATCTCAAGAAAAAAAATCAAACATTCTGATTTTTGTTCCCCTTAGAATTCTCTAATTATGTCAAAATCCTTTGAATTTGTTATTTTTGTTTTATATTCCATACCAATGTCAGTCTGAAGCCGACCAGGAACCCTGGTAAGGAGCTCCGGGTGCCACATTTAAATAAATATTAATGTATGTGCATATTTTTTTTATCTGTCTATATCAGAGGAAACTCATTTAAAGCAGTTGTTACAAAGCATCCTGCAGCTGTATAATAATCCCTCTCTGAAAAATGACCGGTTCTAATTATTAGCAGCCAATATGATCATCATTCATGTTCATGTGTAGATTTTGATCAGAGCTTTAAAGCTGCAGAGGAAAGTCTGACAGGAAGAGGAGCTGCAGATTGTCTGAGTGCAACAGGAGGAAAAGTAGAGCTGAAGAGTCGGATGTTTGTGTCTGGACTCAGACATCAGGAGGAGATTCTGCAAAAATGATTGTTTTAATGGAAGGAATCAACATTTTAGTAAAAATATGAATAAGTTGCTGTCCTAATGCCTGACACTCCAGCCAGCCTTGGACTTCCCTCCTCCTGATGAAGGAACATGATGACCTTTGAACTTCACGCTCATTAATAAAGGCCAAAAGGAAGTGTTTGTGTCATCTATGGCTTTACATTCAGGGAGGCCTTTCCACCAGAACCAGGTTCAGTGTTAAACCAGTTCCTCCAGTTTTCACCCAAGCAAACTGGTGGGTCACTGGTTCCATTTCAGCATGAACTCTTAACTGGGTCAAGATTTTGAACAGCTTGGAAATGGGACTAAAAGTGGGCAGAACCAGAATATCACACTTTCTGTAATTCTGCCTCATTAGAGGTAAAAACAGTAAAATCAGAAGGTTTATAGCGACACAGAGGACACAGAGGACACTTTGGTGCTGCTGTGGTTAATGTCTGGACAAGCTGGAACATGTCAGTGGGACCTCATCATGAGTCTGAACCATGAAACCTGTTCTGGTGCTGTTCCTCCACAGCTCAAACTCCCAGAGCTGTAGAACCTAACAGCACCAGATGAATGTCAGACAGGCTGACAGAGCAGAAGAATCGGGTCCGACTGGAAACTCAAACCAGACCCAGAACTCTGAACCCGAATCTGACTGAAGCTCTGCTTTCCATCACATCCTGCAACATTCCACGTTGCAGTTCAGATTTGACCCAGGCCTGGAAAACTTACGACCAAAAAAGTCGCCGAGCTGTTCCATCAACAGACATCATTTCACCTAAATTCAGCTGTGAGCTGTTTAAGCTCATATAAAAAGCGATGTACAGTGGTTTCACTTCTTTATCAAAATGGACTCAATTCTGACATTCAGCTAAAGAACGATAAAGTGCAGTTGGTTAAAAAAGAAATAACCAAAAAAAAACAAGTGAAAATGGTACAAGCAAGCAGCTAAAACCAGCCGTTTAAAACAGAGGAGCTGAGAGGAGGTGAGAGGAGGTGAGAGGAGGTGGGTGGAGCAGGTGGAGCGGGTGGAGCAGGTGGAGAGGTGAGGGGTCAGGGCCTCAGATGACCTGGCAGCAGCTGGCTGGAGCTGAGGTACACAGCAGAGCGTCTCTGGAGCCATGCTGGATGTTAACAGAGATGCTCTTCTCACACAGAGGTAGGTGCAGTACGCCGTTTTTCAGGCCGTTCATGTTGCCGTGAGCGTCCCTGCTGCCGGGCGGCGCCCCCTTCTGGCGGAGGTGCAGCACGGCGTGGGAGCGGGGCAGGCCGACGGCGGGGAGGCCGATGGAGTCCAGGCTGTTGGTGGAGCCGATGCAGATCCTCCATGTCGGTTTCTCCTTGATGCCCCGGGGGTCCAGGATGACCTTGGCCCCGCCCCCGGCTCGGCCCCCGCGCCCGCTGCGCTGCTGCAGATGAGAGCTGAGGCAGAGGCTCATCAGCTTCAGACTCTCCACCAGCTCGGTGCTGCGGCTCGCTGTGCGGGAGGGCCGGCTCGCCGTGCTGAGGGCCGGCTTGGTGGAGCTGCTGCAGCAGCTGGAGGGTCGATCCTGTCCCTGGTGGCCCCCGCCGGCCCCACTGCCACCTCCTCCACTGCTACCACCTTCCCTCTCCCCGTTACCAGGGGGACTGCCTCTGTCGGGGCCAGAGGAGCCGCCACCCTCCGAGGGGGGCTTCCCTTGGCCGGAGCTGCTGCCCCCCCCAGTACCACCTTCGCTGCCGGGGGGCCCCTCGCTGCTGTCCCTCCGGTTCCAGCTGTAGGTGAAACCCGAGTCCTTGTCCAGGCGCCTCCTGTGGCTTTCTGAGTCATCGTCGCTGGTCTCCGAGCTGGAGCAGGATGACCCCCGGCCCTGGCTCTTGCGCCTGTGGTAGCGTTTCTGCGTTGGGCCGGGGGACGCGGCCGAAGTGGCCCCGGAGCCCACACCCCCTGCCCCGCCGGCGATGTTCATCTTGAGCCGGCTGAGTTTGGGCGGCAGACCCTCATCCATCTCAAAGTCGTCGTCCGACTCACCCTCCTCCTCAAAGATCTGGTTGAGCACCGGGGCGCTCTTCCTGGAGGTGAGGCGGTTGGTGATGGAGGGAGGTTTCCGCCGCAGGATCACCTGGGTCGGCAGGGGCGACGGGTCCTGCTCTTCCTCCTCCTCTTCATCTTCCTCCACCCTAACAGCCGTGCAGAAAAGACAGGGCCAAATCAGCAGAGGATCAAAAAGAAACAAATACACCAGATTATTGGATCTCCGGAGTTCTGATTTGAGAGGAGGTTGAGGTGAACTCTGACCTGAACAGACAGGCCCTCTGCTTGGCCCCTGATGTGGAGGGACCTGCAGCTCTGAAGGTCCCAGCAGCAGAAGATGCTGCTGCACAGGCTCCCTGAAGCAAACAAAATACAGGACAAGTGTTACAGAAATGCATGCATGTACGCACACACACACTCACTGTGAAAGGGGCACAGGCAGCATCATAACACTCACACACCTATTTACAAAGGCAGAGAAAATCAGTCAGTGACAAGAGCAGCCTGAAGCTGCTCAGTCAATCAGCTCATGTGGATGATAAAGACCCTCTGAGTTATTTTATCCATTTAAATCTCATATTTAACAGGTTTTCAGGATTCCCCTTGTTCATCTCCAGAATATTATTAAAGGGGCAGTGTTTTCCAGGCACATAATGCCATTTTATAGCACAATCCACTATGTTGCCTTCAATTGTTAGAAAAATGTTGTATATATGAGATATGACTTAATTATTTTTATTTTCTAATTAAACATAATGAAATTGGGCTTCTTTGTCTTTAAAAACTCCTGCTTTTTCTGAAACTCCACCTTCAGGAAGTCATCATGGTTCCTCAATGTTTTTACCAGCGTTGAGCTAAGAAGTAACTCTTGTAATGAGCTCAGCAGACGAGCAGTTCCACCAGGTGTTTGCTAATTGCTGCTGGCTAGTCTGAAGGAGCTGAGTGGGAGGTTTTCGGGGGAGGGCTGCACTGAGGCAGAAGCTTGGAAATTTCAGCTGTGAGGAGGAGTTTGAAGGCGGGGCTAGGTCCACCAAGGCGTTGTGCCCAGCCTAATGGTTTCTATGAGAGATTAAAGGATTTCTCAAACATGCATGAAAGCAACACTTTACATATGTTTTTGATGAGTAAATAACATAACATGATGTGAAGCTCACAAAGGCACATGTTAAATATAACTGCCTCTTTAAAATTTGAAACATCCTATCCAAAAACTCATCTATGAAATGAACTCAAAGACAAAACATTCTGGATCAGAGCTTCTGTCTATTGTTTGTCTGATTGTTTGTCTGATTCATCTTCAGTAATATCTAGATATACTTCCTGGTCTTCCTAGAAACAACTACACATGTCCACTCACTAGGAGGCAACATCATGAGGGAACATCTTGTAGTGCCATTATTACTACATTCGATGGCTTTGTTACGGTTTTGAATCTAAAGGACAGGTCTGGTCTAGTCACAGTAAACCCCTTCAATCACTTCTGCACATGCGAGGTGAAACATGATGAAAACCTGAGCTGAGTCGGTGACCGTGGCCTCCTCCCGCCGGCCCAGGTCCATCATGCCTTTGGAGCGGTGTCCGTTCAGCAGGTTCTCTGCGCTGCGGGCCGGTGACTGGGGGCCCCCGGCATGAGAGATGGACGAGGAAGCCAGAGAGTCCTCTATGTCCTGATGCATGTCCATTCTGGTCGGCCAGGACTGCCTGCAAACACACATCACACACATGGTCTGGGTCAAACAAGAGAACGCCTTGTCACATTACATTTGGCTAGAGTGAAAAACTACTGACGTCTATCAATACAAGAACTGGTAGCGGTTTCAAAACTGCTCTGATTAAGTAAACCACAAATCAACACCAGAGGAGGAAGTGATCCAAACTTAGTGGTGAATCAGATTCTTTAAACCAACGACGAGATCTCTGCATGTGTTTGTGATTTCAGCTCAGTGTCCTCAAAGCCCACATTTTTCCTCTAGTTCTGACATAAATAATGTTAACTCATGTTGTAGGATGTTGAGCTGACTCAAGAGATGTTCAACCATAATTATCTGATCACTTTGGAGCACAGTGACATTTTATTCCAACTTGGTCCTTGAATCATTTCACTGATTGGCTGAAACCCCAAGAGCAGAGATCAGGAAGACAGTGGATGCCAGCCTCACTGGTACTGCTAAGATGGCTTCTCCTCTACTTATGCATATTCAGGTCAATGTGAAGAGCAAACTATCAAAACAAACAGTTCAAGCAGTTTTAGAGGAGATCTCACAGTTAAGCTATTAATGAGTAGCTCTGGTCCTAAATGCCTCGTTCACATGGTAAGATTTTTATGCCAATTTTTCCTTCCGACAATCTTGAGGACAATACATTCATCAGGATGGCTTTTAAGATCAATTTAGGAGATGTGTGGTGGCCCTTGTCTGCTGCAAAGGATGGCAGGACCGCTCCAGTCTAAAATTGTTGATATTGAACATAATGGATTGTCTTGGCCCTATATGGCAGAGTGTGTGGTGTTCCCTGAGGACAAACAAGGATGCAGCCTGCTGACTGTGTCATGTAGCCAATCAGAAACCGAGCTGATGGAAACACAGAGTGAATTTTAAATAAAGAAGACAAAACAATGGCCATGGTTCACCAGAAAGTTCAGCTGATGTCATTGCATAATTTTGTCTCTGCTAGACATAATCCACTTGAGACTTTTTGCGAGGTTTTCCATCTCACATCTGAATGTTGGTGACTGAAATCGGTGTGTGTACGTGTGTGTGTGTGGTTTGTTCCTCCTGCTGTGTTGCTCGTCAACACCCACTGTACGATCAAACCTGTTATACCTGTACAATGTTGTGTTTTCTCTCAGCTTTTAAAACTTGACTGAGAATTTAAAAATCCTGCAGAGACTGAGGAGTGAACCCTGCGAATACTGAACCACTGTATGAAATTATTACAGTCATGTTATTATTGCTTTTGCTTCAAATAAAAGAAAATCATGTTTTCAGTTAGTTTTGAATATTTTACTTTGCTACAATCTCCATCTTGTCTCGGTGTGTAAATATGCAATATTTTAACTTGTGACATTAGGGCTCAGGTTCCTGTGCAAGAAAACACTCCCACTTTGGGTACAAGAAGCACAACACACACCTCCAGATGTCAGTGTGGTGTTTGGCTAGGTTACAATTGTTATGTACACAGCACTGGAAAATTTGCTGACACACACCTTCTCCCCGGTGTCTTAAAGCAGGTATGCCGTTAATGAGAACCTGGACATCCAGGTCACCATGGCAACAAACAGCTGCTTCAAACTAATTCTTCCAGTTATGTTGAGCAAAATGTGTCTCCATGTGTGATCCTGTTAGGTCTCAGAGCAACAACACTGGAGAGGAAGCGTGGAGCAAATAGCTGAGGGATGAACCAAACAAGGACTCATCGTCTTAGTTTATAGCAGCGTGAGTAATGGCCGAGGTCCAAGCTATCGCTAGCACTGCTGGGAACTAAGAGGAATGTGGAAACTAACAGACATTAGAAGTAATGATGGAAACGATGATGAGACACAGATTGCTCTGTAGCTCAGAGGTTTTCTTTGCTCCAGTTCTCTGATCCAAGCAGGTGGAGGCTTGCTGTGACAACAACAGGGCAGTTCCACACTTCACACAGCAGCTGCGTTTCCACTGACCAAATAATTATGTAATATGACATTTCGAAAAGGAATTTGTTTAATGGAAGTACACCAATTTGGAAAAAAACCTTGATTTTCAATAAGAAAGGTCTGTTTTTGGTCAGATCAAAATTGGTTTATTTTGCAGAACTGCAGTGGAAACAAGTTTCTACATCACATGAGTCACATGACCAACAGCTGGATCTTGTCACTGGCTATAGGAAGTAGTTGAAAGTTGTTTTCTAATGAAGTAACACATGGACAAACATGTTCACGTGTGGTTTTAATTGTGTTTCTTATTTAATGGAAACACAGCAATTGTGGAATCACATTCTTTCTACATTAGCAGAATACTGACAAGGTTTTTGCCCACATCTGTAATGGAAATGAAGCGAGTGACTCAGATCTTTACTTTGACAGTGACAGTGATGTTTAGCTACCACAGGTTCCTCACGTCTCTCTCGGCAGCAGAGGAAGCCGTTACCTGAATTGTGCCTTCATGTTGCTGGGGCTGGAGGAGCGGGTCTGGACCTCCTTCTCCTGCTTTTCCCTCAGGATCCGCTCCGCTAACAGGTAGTATGTTGCTGTGATGTGGTTGTATTTGTTGGTCTCCAGGGCTCTGGAACAGAACACACATGATGAGGAGAGGATACAGGGCCCAACAAATACACTGAATTGATACAAGATATCATCACTGCCCTTAAATAATGATTTGTCATTTTTTGACAGTGATTTTTTTTTAATTTATTTATTGCCTAAATCATATTTTCAAAATAAAAAGGGAAGAACTTTTTGTTTAGATAAAATCACTTTTGGCAAACAATGACTTTGGCCATTATTTAGGAAAGTGATAGTTTGTGAAACTGATATCAGCAAAGCTGGCTAGCTAACGTTAGTGATCTGCCTCTGTAACAAAACTTTTCACCTGGTCCTTACAAAGAGATTTAGTCCATCTTAGCTACACATACTAAGCTAGTTACATACTGTGTGTTTTGGAAACTAGTTTCCGTTTATTGCTAGCTGTTTGCCACCTAGCTTGGTGTACCAGCTAATGTCACCTAATATTTGTGTGGGGAGCTGGTCGTGGTCTCAGTTGTTCTTGACTCACAAGATGACTGTGGCTTTTACGTAAAACAGAGCAACACAAAGCAGTGCAAAATTACAAAGTGGAAGGAAAATCATTCATGGTTTTAAACAGTTTTCTACAAAGAAAAAATCTGAAAAGGGAAAGCTGGGAACTTTGGTTTTCCAGCAGCCTCTAACAGGTTTTCTCTCACCATACAAATAGGTGACTTCCCATTATCATGTTATAACCGTGGATTCTACCCAACGGTGAACACTGCAGTATGTTTTATGAGCATTAGTTTAGAGGGAAATGAAACGTACTCCACTATAGCCTCCCGGTCAGCGATGTCTCCCAGCACCATGCGCTGGATGATGCTGTTATGCTCCTCCTCCGACAAGTTCTTGTGGGAGACCAGAGGAGTGCTGTACTTGGTGGCAGGTGAGGGGTCCACCCCCTGCAGCCAGGTGTGGCTCTCAATCTCCTCCAGTGACGCTCTGCGCTTGGGGTCCCTCTGCAGCATGCGGTCTATCAGACTGGGACGAGATGGAGAACATATTGAGAAAAGCAGAATATGATACACTAAAGGTCAGAAGAGAAAGAGATGTCGTCTGACTGCTCATATCGTCTCCATATTTTTCACAATATTTTTTTATTGTTCTTATTGTTTCTTTATATGAAAAAGGTTTAATTCTTCATAATTTATTTATTCTGGTGTTTTGGCTTCTTTTAGAGGTGCTTTCATTGGAGGAAATAATTTCCATTTTTGGGTCTAAACACAGAGTTTAGACCCAACATTCAGGACCAGTGACAGATTTAGAGGTTTTTATTGGAGAAACATTTATCTTTAGAATATCTGAGGTTTTTCTCAGCACATGAACACAAACACTGTCTCACTCAAACAAACACATCCTCTAATAATTATGCTTGGTCTGAGCCACAGGTTCACTGGTGTGAGCCACACATGGAAGAACTGAACATACAGTGTGTTGTGTTCAATGACAGTGGGAGATGTAGACATTGATGGAGCTGAGGATGCTACACTGCAGCTGGGGAGCATTGTTTTTACATTTCTTCTAAATAGTTTTTTTCAGCAGAGCAAGCCATTTTTTTCACAATATTTTTAGTTAGTTAGGCATAAATTTACAATTTTGTAAAACATTTTTGAACATTTATTTATTATGTATGCATTAAGTAATAAATGTTCTTTTGGAGTAAATTCACCCTTACTGTTCAGTTTGCTGTTCTTACATTTCTATTTTTATTAAAATTTTTACTTTAGTTTGAATAGCAATTCTTAAGCCTGTCGCAATAAGTGATTAACCAATTAATTGTATTTTGTGTTATTATTGTCTTTATATTTTAGATTTATGGTATATTTTATTTTATTATTTTTAGTTTTTGGTTGTATTTTACTTTGGATATTTAAAATATCTTCCAGTTCCAGCAAAATTATCGTTCATTAGTCTTTGAGAGGGCAAACTTGCAGTATGCCTAATGGCATAATGCAAGTTTGACACCATTTTCAATTAACGTAACAATAATTTGTTACGTTAATTGAAAATGGTGTCAAAACGATACTATTGTTTATTGCAATAATTTCCGGGACAATTTAATGTCCAGCAAAACATGCGATTCACCTTTAACTCTGTCTTAAGATGTGACTTAATAACAAACATCTGTCCTTCCTGTCTTTTCAGAAGGAGAGGTGCAGGACTGCTGACACACACAGAAAGTTGTCTTATCTGTTATTATCTTTCACCACAGGTAACACTTGCAAGTGTAAAATCACAAGATACCACATTTTCTGAGGGATGTGCGAGTGGTGCCATGGAGAATACAAGCAGAAATGTTTTTGATGAACAAACGAATCAGGAGACAATCACTATCTGGTTGGTCACCAGGGAGTAGTGGACAGACAAATGTCTTCCACTAACATGGAGACAAGCAGAGGACAGATGGAACGATCCAGAGAAGACGCATCTGCATCACCACTGAACAAGATAAATAAAAATGACAGAATTTGTCTGGTGCCACAGCAAAACCGGGAACAAGTCACCAGAGCAGAAAAAGAGAAAACAGATAAAAACCATCAGGTAGCTCAGGCATAGGGACAATTCTTCTGGAGGTCTGGTTTCTACTAAATGTGTTGGCAGAGCGCCATCAGAGGCTGAGTATAGAGAGCTGGTGCATCGCTTTCTGTTATGGTGTGGGAAAAATCTTCTCAACTTGATGATTGTAAATGTTAGAAGAAACAGGGTCAGATCAAACCCCGTTTCCATCATGAGAGAAGTGAAGCCGGTGGAGAAGAATAAATATCTCAGACTGGAGACGTGTGAACATCGTTCTCCCACCAGGATGCCAATGGACCTTACCAAGCTCCACCCACAACCGACCAAGAAAATCCCACGTGGCCGCAAGTCTCACAAACAAAGCCTCGCGTCACTTTGTTTCTATGTAAACATAGGGTCTTCCACTCGAACTGATCGAGTATTTCTGAGTCGATTAGTGCATCATTTCTGCTGGATTTTCACCAATTATCAGCTACAACAATGGACAGAGGAACTAACAAGTTCATGTCATCTTTTTTGGATGACATCAAGGTGTTTGAGCCACACGATGCCTCCAACATTATGGATGGAACAGCAAAATGCTTTTGGTCGATGAGAAAAACGGCAGTGATAAACCTCAGCATCAATACAGCCGTGGACAAAATCACTGATGCTTATTGTTCTTGCAAGGCTGGGTAAGTCGGGCATTCATCGTTTTGTAGGTTACTTTTGAAATCAGTGGGTGATTCCTGTTGTTTGTTGGCAAATGTTTGAGTGTGCTGGATTCACTGTTCTCGGTGCTAGAGTGCTAACACGAGTAACAATTTAGTCAAAAGTCTTTTCTGCTAAAATAAAGCCCTTTATTTTAGCAGAAATAAAAAATTTTATGACTAAACTGTCAAAAGCCTCTTCTGCTAAAATAAGATCTTTACTGTATGCCAGGTATACATTGCATATTGATCTGTTTCGCTAACGTAAGACTGTGTAGCACTCAAGCTTCAAGGTGTAGAATTAGTACTGCCACTATTATGCCGTACTTAGCTAAAAGGAGAACATGATGGATGTGTTAATTATTGATTTTCTTTTTTTCAGAAAGAAAGAAAGCAAATCAATAATACTTACACCAGCACACACTCCTATGTTCTTGTTGATCCTATGAATGCTAAGCTGCTCATGCGGTCGTGCACAAGCTTTGATCCAAGCAAGGCATTCTGCTTCTGATTTTGGAAATCTGAACTTTACTCCCACAAATACACTCAGGATACCTGACACCACCAGTACAGATTCCCCACTGGCAATGGAGAACCATTCTTTTTTGATTATTGATGCGAAAACTACCTGCCGTTTTTTTTTCTTCTGTAAAATGTATTAAATTAGTCTCAAATGTGTTGTGAAAATGTACTCCTTTTTTCTATCTAAAATGTCCCTAATACAATGTCATATAAGGCTCTCACTCTTCCTTGGTTTTCTATTTTGTGAATCTGAAAGCTTCCATGCACCTTTCATTTTGCATTTTGAATTTCCCCCACTGAGAGCAACAAAGGTTCTTTCTAATGGAACCATGGAGTAAGTCTTTAGAGTGCCATAAACAGCAGAAGTAGTTAAAATGTGGAAGTCATGTTGCTAAAACTATCACCAGAAGTGGAGGACGTGTACAATTGTAGCTGAAGCAGCTGGGATGTTTTGTTGGTGCAAATCCCAACATTTCTGCTGTGAAGCTGCAGCCAATCAGATGGCTCAAATCTCTTCTAATTCGCTGCTCAGTGCAGCCTGATCCTCAGTGTGAAAACAAGATGAGCAATTCCAGTCTTTTTATATTCTCCATTTATGAAAATCTGGCCTTTACAACATGAGAATCATGTCTTCACCTGGATCAGTGAAAACCAATTATTTGCCGTCTTAAGTGTAGAATTAGCACTAAAGAAACATCAATTAAATCTCCTGTTGTCCCTCTTCATTCAGCTGCAGAAATGCGCTGGGCAGCAGGTCTCGCTCATCATGCAGGGCTGGACTAATGTTGAATGAGGCCTTGAGTAGAGTTTGACTTAGGGGCCCCTCTTTCTGCTAAGAACATCAGCATCAACATGGATTTAGTGAAACCTGGAGAGAGGCCTAGTTTAATTGTAATCGTAGTTTACTAAGAACCATCAAAGAACAGCTAAAGATTAAACTGAGAGAATTAGATTGTTCATATGATAACAAAACAATCTAAATATGAAGATTGGTCTTTGAACTTTTACAAAGTAAACTTGCCAGCTCCTTAAAATCTTACATTTAAATGTTCAAGAATTTATAATTTTTTTAATTTATCTATCCTGAAACCATTAAATCAAATTTAACGGTATCAATATCCTCTTAGTTTGTTTATCCTTTGGGACGGTTCTCAGTGTGATCAGCATTACATCGTGCTTAAATTCATTGACTTTATTTGGATTTAACAGCAGTGCAAATAATTGATATTTATTTTAATTGTATTTATTTTATTTTTCTTATACTCTGTAGTTCTGGGTTTAAGTATTGTCAGCAATGTCCTCCAGTAACATAATTAATCAGTAATATTTTATGTTTCCTGTCAAATTACGATCCTTCATTACAAAACCTCAACCTGAGGGAAACTCTGCTTGTCTAAATAAAAAGTGCTAAATAGATGAAGTTTGATTAAACGTCATTTTTCAAAGGTACGTTCGGATTAAAGTGGAGAAAAAAAACTTCACCTTCATAAATAATACATGCATTCATGGTGGATGCAGAATGAAGAGGAGAGGATGGCGGATCCATACTTACTCTCTGCAGGCGCTGGAGACGTGGGCTGGTACAGTGTATTTACAGTCCATGATCATGGTGAGAGTCTCGCTGTCGTTTGCTTCCTGGAAAGGCGGCTGGCCGCAAACCAACATGAACAGGATCACGCCAAGGCTCCAGATGTCTGAGGCAGGAAGACACACAGAAACTCCCATCAATCTAACAAAGAGAGACCATGGACAGCAAACACCTCCCTGCCACAGTTAATACATAAAACACTGCAGCCAACAGCCCAAACTAACAGGAAACTGCATCTGCTAACAACAATAATGAAGCATAAAGAAATGATTCAATTTAGCAGAGAGACAGGATTAGCTTTTCAACACGTTCTCCAGTTGACAACCACAAACCTCAGTGGAGTTTAAACTTCAAAGGGATTTCCTGAGATGGAGCAATATTGTCTGACATCATTAGGTGGATTGATAATAATACATGGCTTCGTTGACAGAACTTTCTCCCTGTCCAATTTACTAAACTACAGATTATGGCTGAAACAATTAACCAGACTGATCAATTATTGAAATAATCAGCAACTTATTTAGTAATTGATTAATCGCTAACTGGAGTATACAGACTAAAAGATTAAATTTTCTGAAGCACAAATATATATATATATATATATATATATATATATATATATATATATATATATATATATATATATATATATATATATATATATATGTTTGTCTGTAAAACTGTTCTCCCCAGATTTCCTGTGGCAGTTTTAGCTTCACATAGTTCAAATTACATAAAAATAAAAATAAAGAACCTCCTGAGATGTAAGTCTAGCTGAAATCAACGTGTGTTTTTCACATGTTGAGGTTAGAAGGATTTTTTTTAGCTGCAGATGTATCATTTGCAACAAATGATCAAGAGTTCACTAAAGAAATGCTGTTATTGTATTTTAGTCAATAAAAAGTTTATTTTATCATTTTAAAAAGGCATTGAACTATTTGTTGTTGTTGGTTTTTTTTTTTACATATTTTAATTTACTTTCAATATTGTATAAATAAGCATAAGTGGTTAAAAGAAGTCTATAGCTTGAGACAATTTTTGTATCCAATTAATTGATTAATCATCTGAATAACCAACTACTAAATTACTTGTAAACTGCAGTTATAACTTATTTACACCATACACAGATCTGAACACAAACCCACACCACAATGTCAAACAGATCCCTTACTTTACCATGGTAATGTCAGGGTTTGTTGCTTGTTTGCCTTTTTCATTTCCTTCGTATCATGAAAAACTATTTGCATGGCCTTGTTGCTGAAAATGTGCTTTAAAAATAAAGCTGCTTTGCCTAGTAACCTAGTGATATGGACATGTTATTAGGGGAAAAAAGAATAAATATCAATTTAGGCCACATTGTGAAGGGGATAACGGTCAAAACAATCTAACTTTATTATGACAAGGTTGACACACCCATCATTTCTGTATTTTGGTAGTTTGTGTCCTCCACTGTAGAGCACAGTGAGTTTACAGAAAATAAATAGTCTAATTATTTCACATTGTCTTTCTAGTACCAAACGCTTCTTGGTGTGTTCCTTCACACAACAGCATGAGAACTCTGCTTACAAAACCTGGTGCAGCACAGAAATGCAACGTTTAATGTTTGTTTGCACAGCTGGTGGTTGAGTGATGTTTTTATGACAAAAGCCACTAAACTGCTGAAATGAGCTAAGCAAATAAACTTGAACTGGTCACCGGGACAACTCCAACATTCATCCTCTTTAGGTATAGGATGGTGAATCAGACTTGTTAACAAGCATGTTGCTGCTAAACATATGATGTTTCACAAACTCTCGGCTTCTACAAGATATTCACATGCACTGGGGGTGCACCTATTTATCGGCGCTGATTTCCTTAATTTTGGGAGAGATGTGAGCGACTGAGACTTACATGTGAAGCAGAACTTATTCTACATTCTTATCTACCTCAGCAAAGGTCTAAAAATCTGACAATGTCCTCTTCTGCTCTGCTTTTAGAGAGGTTTTACTGTTAGCCCGGTCCATCAGGTCATGTCTGCACATTTGCAATCAACAACAGTTACCCCGCTGTTACCAACTCAGTGACATTCTTGATATAGCAACATTTCAGAGAAAAAAAAAATTGGTAATGGTCAAATTTGGAATCAGCAGGTCAAACCAGGAAACTGTAATTAGTGAACCTCCTCTGACAGGAGAGAGCTCTTCGTGCACATCTGCTTCTCCGCACATTCATGCTAACCACATCCGCTGAGCTCAGGTTACTGCTGCATGGGGTCATGTGGTTACTAGAGCCTGGGTCGGCATGTTCTATCTGCAATCTGCAGCCTGGAGCTCCTGTTGCTAACAGAATAACTAGTGCTGCAGGGACTTGATTCTAGTTTTTAGTGCACAACAGAGTGATCATGTGCTGGCATCCCACAGAACAGATCCCACAATGAAGAACAGTCACTGTGGCCTGTAATCCTCTGGTTAACAGCATGTTCTGCTTTTCATCCAGGAAAATTTAAAGAAAACAATTCCACCTTCAAAACAAGTCCTCGCATGGCTGTTTAAATTAATTTTAATATCACTGTTTGTTGTTTTCTTTGGATGTGAACTCATCAGTCAGCTCTAGGTTTCTCTAATTATTATTGCCATAAATTCTTTCCCACTTTGGATCTGGTCTTACTTGTTTTACAGCCATATTTTGCCATGTAATTGCACAATCAAGTAACTATGTTACCTTCAGTTGTTATAAAATTTTGTATATAATCAAATATGAGCATTTTATATATGCAGCATATCAAATATTTTATATATCAAATATACAGCATTTATATTTGCAGTATATAAATGCAAATATATATATATACATTATATTTGCGTTTATATACGCCAAATATATAATGCATTTATATTCAATAAATAATGACACCTTGAAATACGGCCTGTATCTCTTTAAGGACTCTAGATCTTTCTGAAATTTCAGGAAGTCATCAAAACAACGCGCCTCAGTTAACCCTTTAAAGTTTGCTAATTGCTGCTGGTGATGTTTAGCCAATCAGAAAGCGAGCTGATGGAAACATGGAGGGATATTCTAAATAAAGACCACAAAACAACAACCATAGCACAACTGAAGGTCAAGTGGACATCAGAAAAGTCTATTGTTTTTTTTCTCTCTGAAACATACTCCACATATTATCACCATAGTTTCTTCTCAGTCGGCCATGTTTGTTTACCCTGAACTCACATTTGCTCGAGATGTTTTGCGAGATTTCCCGTCTGACTCACTAAATATAATGTGTGAGGTGTGTTCCTCCTGCCTTGGGGCTCGACACCACACACTGTACGACCAAACCAATTTTTTTTTATCATCACATGCATATCTGTGTGTGAACCAGATTTTTATATACTTGTGGGGACCTATTTCTGTCTACATGGTGGGATGGGACCACTGCTTCTTGTGGGCAAAAATCCTGGTCCTGATGAGGCGAATGCTGTTTCTGGGTTATTCTTTTCCAATTGATACTTAGAAAATGTGTCAAATTCCTTCCAAAAAAAAAAACAAAACAAAAAAAAAACAACCCTGCAAAACACTGTGATTTACACATTCCTTTCCAGACGCAAATCTGATTACTTTACTTCTTTAATTAAAAATTGAAATGCTTAGTTACTGTTGAGTGAATAAGCCAAAAATGTTTTTCGGTCCTTAAGTCCTTTTGACTTTATGATTTCGGTCCATGTGACAAAAAGTACTTGCTAGGAAAAGCGTGAGTTTGCTGAAAAGCAAAATGTGACCTAATTCTGTGCTGGTGGAGATGTTTCAAACTTTACCACAGGGTTTCTGCACATTACTTCCACTTGGCTGCTAAATATTCCAGTATCTTCTTACTGGCATTACAGTTCAGAGCAACATGCCGTACCTGAACAGTAAAATGTCTTCAAGAGAATTCCATGTGGTTTTGGGATTTTAAGGACAAATTTCTACGATGTAATTGCAGTTTCCTCAGTTGCACCTTTCAAATTTCTGATAAATACAACAGGCTAAATTTAAATGTACTCACTGCACTGACATGAGAGATTTTTCAGCATCAGTGGCAATCTCACAACACACATACTTAAAATAAAAAAAAGACAACGTTTAACCGTCCATATTGTTTCTGTTTTAAATAGAACAAGTTGGCGTGAAAGGTATGATGTCCTGTAATGAAAGGACAACAGTAGTGTCTGCTCTCTACTGGTCTCCATGGGAAATCAATGAGACAGTTAATTCAGTTCAATGGGACTCCCACAGACATGATGAGATTGAACACAGCTGACCTTACACCACAGACCCAACAACAAGATGAGCGTCAGGCTCAGCACCCTGCACCATCCTGCAGATCCAAAGGTTCTGCTACACAGAACCCATCAGAACACAGTCACACCACCGGGTTAGAAAATAGCCTGTTGAGATATTCCGGCTTTCTTAGATGCATTTTTAAAAAATATCTTAGATATGTTTTGTGAGAAAAGTCCATGAATAGATACATTTTCCATAAACAATTTGGAGCTTTAATCCACACAAAAATCTGAGAATAGAAAAAAACTGAACCAAAACAGTCAGGCTTCCTTACATAAACTTCTAGAAGAGGAACAGAGCTCATGTTATCTTTGTGGTTTAAGTACATTGAATATAAAACTAAGAATGATGCATAAAATATCTTGAGTAGTTTTCCGTCTCCATGAGCTCACTTCCTCTTCCTGATAAAAGCGGTTCTCTCCTTTGACTCAACTCAATGTTACTGCTTAAAAAAGAATGGTTTTACACAGCCAGAGTTTCTGGACGTAAGAAACCCAACAAACCGGTGGTAAACCAACATGGACCCTTTTAGTGCTGGAGCTGATGGGTGGAAAAAAACCCAGCGAGAGAAGGTTGATCATCCAAACCACACTGACCTTATGCCACTGTAAAGAAACGGCTCATATCCTGTTTGCTCGTGGGCTCCAACTCTTGAATAATTTCCTCTAATTAACAGCGTAACTCACTGCGGACCGTCGCTTTGGGTTGCTACGTACCTACGGCTGGAGCGTCATACTCGTCGCCAAGGAGGATTTCAGGAGCCGAGTACGCCAGAGAGCCGCAGCTGGTGGTAAGCTTCTTCCCTGGCTGAAATTTGTTGCTGAAGCCAAAGTCAGTGAGCTTCACCAGTCCTTGTTTCTCGAAGAACACCACGTTCTCAGGCTTCAGGTCCCTGTGCACCACATGCAGTCGGTGGCAGTAAGAGATGGCGTGGACGATCTGGGCAAAGTACTTCTTGGCCAACTCCTCGTTCAGGCCCTCCTCATGTTTCATGATGTAGTCAAACATATCCCCCCCATCCCCCAGCTCCAAGATCAGGTACAGCTTTGTCTGAGTGTCTATCACTTCGTACAGGCGCACGATGTTGGGGTGCTGCACCAGCTTCATGCAGCGCACTTCCTGAAAGAGGTGGCCCGTCGCCACTGTGTCCAGCTTGGTCTTGTCGATAACCTTCACCGCCACCTTCTCCCCGGTGAAAACGTGCCGCGCCAGCTTGACCACAGCGAAGTGGCCCCGCCCCAGCGTCTTGTCCAGATCATACAGGCCGGCAATTTTACCGTCATATCCCCGCTTGAAGCCCGCCATGACTGGAGAGGGTGTCGGGGACAAGGGAGCGCCCCCTGCAGGCCGGGGCAGCTCGCTGGGCTCGTGTGGGTCCAGCTTATTTCGGCTCATCCGAGGCTGAAGTGGAAACCCATGGCTCCAGTTTCCTAAAGGGAAAGAGACACAAAGTAAGCGTACGACTCCTGGCGTGGTTAGGTCAAGCATTTCCTCAGTCTGAGGATTTTAAAGATTTACTGAAGGGTTCTTTTTCCAGACTGGAAAGATTACGCTGGGGATGCAACTACTGATTCTTTTAGTTATTCTATTAATCTATTGACTATTCTGACAATTAATCGGAGAAAAAAAAAGGGTAGATTCTGGAGATTTTGTCATTTAAGACTTTTTTATACTATATTAGAAACGCTGCAGTATGTCATTTTAAATGAAAAAAATATATTTTTAAGAAATTTGTTAAAATCATCATTATGTGGTGACAGTGCTCTCTGCCTTCAGAAATACACCAGTCAGAAACAACCAATCAGAGTCAGGAGAGGGCTTCAGGGCTTCAGGACCCAGCGCTGGGTCCTGAAGGGCTGGGCATCCCTGGTTTAGTTGAGCCTGCTTCAAATAATGGCTCTTTAAAAGGGTTCAGAAGAACATTGACATGCTGAGGAGAGATGGAACAAAAACATGCGGGATGTCACCACTGCTCTGGCCTTCCAAGAATGCTAAGGCTAGTTATAATAGTCACAGATGGTGTATAAATAGCTTTCTTTCTATAGTAAGTTGTTCCTCCTCAATTAGCATAATTAGCAGTGTGTACGGAAGATTGATTGACAACACTAAGCCCCGCCTCCTGGCTCTGATTGGTTGTTTTTGACTGGGAGTGGTGATTTTTGCAGATTGCAAAAGGAAGGAGGTGGGAGATCTTGTTGCTTTTTTTACAGATTCTCTCACATTACACTGTCATGACATGGTGACATTTTTAATAGATATGGAAGAAATATATTTTTGTAAACGTTATACACTGAAGCTTTAAAAGATGCAGATAATTAAATTCAAGACAGAAATCTGCAGCACATTAACAACCTGGTCACACAAAAGTAAAACAAATTAAAAACAGCTTAAAAACAATGACATTGACTAATAGAATCACATTGCAAATTTTTAAGAATCGCTCAAAAATTTTCCTCAGTTACCAGGTAACTGATTACTAAATTAGTTGATGTTTATTTCAATAATTGAGTTAATGTTAATTAGACTGACTAATCGTTTCATCCCTATGATATAAAGATGAAAGAAGATTTTTAAACCTGACCACGGGATGCACAAATCTGAATTTAGTGTGGAACTTTCTCAGAAATACTTCAATAATAATAATGATAATACTTTATTGATCCCCTAAAGGGAGGTGAGGGTGGTTGCTTAGCATAGCAGACAATACAAATAAAAAAAATAAATAGTAATATGAATAAACATACAACAATAAGCTTTAAAATCGAGTTGGAAGTCTTAACTACACAATACTTTCTCTTTGCATTATACGGAGGATTTATTTCAAAACAAATCAAAACCACTGAAGTTTTCAGAAACTAATAATGTTTTAAGGTTTCCTCCAGCCTCCAAAACTGAACATCTGGGAACTTGTGCCAAATCTCCTTTCACTAAAACTCCAAGGCAGGATTAAGGTATGAGTGTTTCATACAGTCAGACTTTCAAACAAGATTTTCACTGTATGATAATCATAATTACTATGACATGCGAACAGCTGGATATCCATGCAGCAGAAGCAATATTTCACAATAATGTGTCCTGAACGATACCATCAGCTTTCAGCAAGCTCTGCTGATCCACCTCCTTTGCTTTTGCTGTATGGTCAGAAAACTGGGCAGAGAGACGTTGGAATCGGGAATATGGTCCTTGACCTTTATGATGGACTTCCTCCTTCTCTCTGAATCAAACCATAACAAATGCTCTGTCCACTTAGTCAGACAGAGTTAATAAGCGCAGAGATCAGAAAAACCTGTCCCATAAAGCTCAGGCAACCAAAACAGTCTCCTTGGTGCTCATGTAAAAACTCAACAGACACAAGATGGAAGAGCTACTAAAACCACATGAGCAGCATTAAATTAAATCTCCCATTTATTGCGCAGTTCTGTGCGCAGTGCAGCAGATTCAACTCTTCATGAAGGGTCGGTCCAACGTTGTCCAAGGCCTTGAGCAGAATTTGACTTCGGAACCTCTCTAGCAGCAGCGTTTCAACAGAAATTTAGTCAATTCTGGGAGAAGAACAGAGGATTTAAGCTCTGGCCAACCTTAAAAGCTATCAGTGATAATTATTGTTTACTGAGATATATTTCTGATCAAAAAGAGCTCAATCTCAAAGACTAATCTCTGTTCAGGTTGTACCTGTGGTAACAAAACTAACTATGAAGAAATTTCTATTACATTTATATATTCTTGGTCTGTGTCAAAATATTAGTATTTATGGGCCCCTGAAGTCTTGGGGCGCTTTAAGAAGCTGCTGGTTTAATCTGGATTAAACCAAGCGTGAATAATTGATATTCATCTTAATTATATATTTTTTTGATTTGTTGTTTTTAAGACTCTATAGTTGTGGGTTAAATAGCATCTTTCTGTAACATAATTTACCCAGAAATATTTTGACATTTCATTACATTACCCTGCTCTCTGCAAATATCCTATTCAACTTCTCTGGAATTTGGGGTCACAGTTCAGATATTATTTGACCTGTTGAGATGCTAATCAGCTGCTGCTACTTGCAAAAACAATACACTGCTGCCACAGCTACACTTCATAACAACTGTCTAAGAGTAAACAGAACAAAAAAAAATGTACTAGTTCACTTTACAGCATGGATGCTATAATAAATTGGGACCATTTATAAATTTATAAAACTCACCCATAAATCAACAGTGAGCTGGCAGAGGTGTTGTCAACGATCACTAACATTCAACTGTTTGCATAATTGGAATCCTGAGCTGATTACTCACTCTCCACAATAAAATGTAACGTCTCCACCCAATTCTTGCTTATAAAAGCCACTGATGTTTGTAGTATGATTATTACATTTTAGGAAAAGAACAGACACCATAAATCATAAACATAAATCTAATCACATTTATGAGCTGATGTCAACGTCTGGCCGCAGCTGAATCCATTCTATTACACAGCATGTCTCTGTTTCCGGTCGCCGTGAGGAGGTTGGGCTTGTTTTGACAGGATGGCAGCTGCATTAGCCTACGAGCTACTCCACATCCGCTGCCTCCTGTTGGGAACCGCAACTAAATTTTAAGGGACATAAGCGACCAAACAGACACCGTCCAAGCACAGAAGTGTTGGGAGAGCTAGCTCAATAGTCGGCTAGCTCAGTTAAATTAACAGTTAGGCTAACATTACCACAGACTAGCTCCTGTATTCATTGATTTAAATCGTTAGCTTCAAGTCCAATTGCAGTTAAGTAGATTCTTTATTAGACACAAGCTCACACTAACAACCACACAAAACCATTTACAACTGCGTTACACCTCCGCGGCCAAAGGAGCTCTGAGACAGCAAAGCCTCAGATATTACACTGAGGCTTTGCTGTCTGTAATCGTGTAGCTGTTAGCATGCTAGAGTTCCTGCGGTTCTTTGCGCTCCGCTCCTCAGTCTCTTCGGCACACATTAGACCCAGGACCTGGCTTTCGCCTGTTACCAGAGCTCGCGACAGATATTTGCTGCCATTAATAAAAAAAATCTGAAAAGAAGAAAAGGTCAGCGCACCTTGTTTTTGGTGACCGCGGCACCCATGAAGCCTCTAAACCCAAGATTCATCCGTAAGACGAGACATCGCATCGTTAGCAACCGCTGCGCTGTTCGGAATGGCTGTTTCCTCCCAGCCGGGGCAGGGGGCAGAGAAGCGACGTTCAGGTGCTTAACATAGTGTCGATATTTCCAGACAACCTTATTTACTCGGAATAATTTACAAAGTGGTTCACTGCTATTAAACTATTCCCGTTATTCGACCTCAGCGGAGAAAACAAAATAATATTTTAAATCCATTCACATTTGTTAATCAGCAGAAGCTTCAGATACCGTTTAATTTTGTTGCATACTTAAACTTAAACCACACGATCTTACCAGATGTTATTGAATGCAGCAAAGGAGCATCATCAACCGCATTCAGCTTTGACGTCAAAGGGACTCTTTTGATGTTAAAAGACTGCAGCAGGATAAACAAGCAGCTCAATTTTAATAAAAACTGTTTAGCCCATAATGACGTTGTAATTTGCATTTTAAAATTTATTATAGGGATACGTGAAGCACAACACCCCATATTTATATGGACATAAAGCAGTACACTTTATGTCTCTGTGGTGTTGCATAATTTCCTCCCAGACCAAACACGTTATTGTGTGTAAAGCGCGCAGCGACAACCAGAGACGAAAAGTCAGATATGTTCATCTAATTACAGATCAGACCAGCATCCCTCCTGCGCCTCCGTCACACCATATCCTCACTTTAACTTAGTGGTCATGGTTGCAAACCCAATACCCCCTTATACACGTCACAGATTAATTAGATTGCAGCACATAAAATTGATTTATCCAACAAGCTTTGTGGCTTTTTGGGCCAGTACATTGAAGAGAACGAGGCACCAATGATTTTTTCTGCTGACCCTCACCTGGCACTGAAGATGTGTCAGCCACACCGTGATGCAGCTGATGAGAACAGATTCCTTGCTTGCACATTAAAACGAGATAAAGATTGAGACTGGAGCTTCTGCTATTTTTGGCTTCCACAAAAAGTAGAGACATTGTTGGGCCTTTTTTGCCAGTAATGTGGCGTGTTTTGTATTTATTTACTTATCCCTAGACTGGTCCTCTGTGATGTGCACGCCTAGAAATTTGGCTGGCGGTGACCAATGGGGGGAGTTTGGTTTGTGTTTTCCTGAAATCAATTATTTCTTCCGTTGTTTTAGATGCGCGTTTTCACGGTCGCGCACACACGCACATAGAGAGACAATTCACCTTTACAACTTTAATAGAAAAATGAATCTGAGTCACCACATTTTCTGCAGGCTACTTTTTGCAGGTAAAATTTTGAAGATAAACTAAAACAAAATTTTATGTTATGAACTCAATTTCTAAAAATAAAGCTATATTTTCTTCCATATATTCCAAATATTTTATCATCCATGCATGATCTAAAAAAGCTTTTGTGTTACGGTGATTTGGAATGAAACTTTTTAATGTGTCAAACACATCGGACACGAATGCCCACCAGAATACACTATACTGCTGCTTTTCTTTCCTCATACGCTAGATGGCGGTGTTGCCATAATTTGGCGTTCTGTTGGTTCCTGGCTGTTCTATTAAGGAATTTACTGCTTCCTTCTCAACTTGATGATGAGGTGAAAAGAAAACATCGTGTGTTTATTGTCCACTCATTAACTGAAAACAAATGTCTGTCTTTATACCTATTGTGTCACTAAACCACAGGAAGTTGACAATCCTTTTTATTTGCTTTTCTTCTCAAGACTCTCAAGCAAAACAACAATGAGGAAACAGATAGGTTCATATCCTAGTAAGGTCTCTACTTCTGTTTCACGGGAGATTTCTGACAGAAACTGAAAAGAAGGGGATATCAGACCATTAGTCCGATTCCAGAGATGAAGAGGATTAATATGAGTAAATAATGTTTAGTGTTGTTGTATTGCTGTCTACTTGACCAAATGAATGATTGTGTCCTGCTGTGGCTGAGATTGGTGAACTCACGATGGTGTCACCATATCCTGGATTTGTCTTCAGGTGGAATAATATGTGGGTCACTGTCATTTTGCATGCTGTTGTTTGGGAATTAGCACATTTAACAGGATTACTATAATGCAGCCTGGAAGGAATGGACTGGCTGACATCGCAAAATTATGCAGGGAACAAAAGATTCAGTACATATATATGCAAAGACGGGCATATGTTAGCAATTTCTGACATGAAAAGCATGAGCATTATTATTGGGCAAGGCGATTTTATTTCAACAGCATCATTTGTAGATAAGGATATCCAAAAGTTATCAAAACCAACACAGAAAATCAAAACACCTTTAAGAAGTCACATACATGCATTGCATGAAAGAAACAGACTGTGTGGAAAAACTATTAAAAACATACTATTGATTTTTAAATCTACAGATACAAAAATGTCCCACTGCATGAGAGAAAGTCCTGACTTTCATGTATTCAAACGTTTGTTCTTCAATGAGATCAAAACAGGCCACTTTTGCGCGTTTTTTTTTTTTGTTTGTTTTTTCTTGCCTTGACCAGGTAGCAGCACAGATTCCTTTCTCTGGTAGCAGAAGCCAGAGAAAGGAAGGAAAAGCTGAAAGTCAGCTACTGTTTTCTTTCCATATCAGGTTTTAAAATAAAAATGATTCAGAATAAAAATACATTTTCCCATTCGATCTCCGTAACATCGACTCTGCCACATTTCAAGTCCAAACTCAGAACTCATCCGTTTCAAGTAGTTTTTGCTCTTTGATTTGAATTGCATTGCATTTTTAAATCTTATTTTGTACTTCAATGTATTTAAATTGTGTTTGTTTTTATGTTAAATTATGCAAGGTAACCTTGAGTGTCAAGAAAGGCACCTACAAATAAAATGTATTATTAATATGTCTTGTTCCACTGTGCAAACGTATTGAGTTTAACAAAGGCCCAGCTTTATCAAAGCTCCAGCTGAATAAGTGTTTTAATCACATTTTTAAGATGCATTGCCTCTTGGTGTTAGTGGCAGGATGCGTAGGCTGCAGCAATGTCTTGAAAAAATAATTGGTAATGCCTGTAGAAGAAAGTTCTTCATGAAATACTTCTATATTTACACACTAAATAACTCATTCAATAGGCAGACACAAAAAAAAACTATTTATTGAGTCACAGTTCTTGGGGAAAAAACATCCATCTATTTCTAGTGTAGAAAACAGACATTCTGGTTTTACTCATCACATCTACAGGATGAAAACTAACCGATAGCACAGACACACACATCTAAACCACCACAACCTGCGTTTGCTGCAAAGTCTTCAGATAATCTCTTAAACAAGGAACTTATGTTGGTGGTAGTGTTTGTCTATCTTGTATTTCCATCTTGCTAAACCTCGTCTACTAAACACTTTAATTCAATGACATAAAGGAGAAGCGTAGCACTGCAATTTATCTGCAAATGATAACATTTGACAGGCAACCATTAAGTTGACAGGGGAATCTGCCAGGCTGGTACGTTTTATTACGATGAAAATGGTGCACAGACTGGAGTCGAGGAAAGCATGGTTTAATACTAAATATTGCCAGGTGAAATAATACTGCACAAAAAACTTCATTAAAATTGAAACGCTTTAGTTATTTGGGATTCTTATGAGTGATGTGTGGTTAAAAAACTGCCATTAAATGTCTTGGATAATTGCCAGCCATCAGGATTTATGTGCCTACAAGACGGCTGCAAACAAGCATTTGATTTTGTGAAACTGACTGATTGAAGTAGTTTTTGTGCCCATAAGTAATATGATTTTTCTGATTGACTATTATTTGTGATTAGCATCAAATAAAGAAAAAAAAGTAGTTTAGGGTTCGATATTTAAAGTGTACATTGCTGTGAACGGTATTTGCCCCTACTTTCTTTTAATAATCACTCTGTAGAACAATTGAGAATTAATACAAACAAAATATATTCAACAGTTATTGAAGTTATGTCTTGAATATGCCTACATATTCAATAAAACATTGGGGAAAAACCGATAATATATCATTAATTCATCTTATATGTACTGATTTAAATATACAGTACATATATATATGTGCATAACTTTTTCTATCAGTCTCTTTCTATCTTTCAGTCTTTATCTACTGCATCTTTTTCAATAACTGTCATTTCAAAGACTACTGTCACAGTCGAGGGAAAAACTGTCGATGGTTAGTAGTAACAATGTCCATCCATCGATTAACTATAAACCTAATTTGAGAGTTTAGTGTTGAAAGAAGCAGACTGACCATGTAGGATCAGAAATATGTCACGATGTGATCTGACCCAACTGTAAACACCTATGTCGATCTTCCATCATGTTGACGGGGCGCCTCCCTTGGATAATGGTAGGGAAAATGCTGCATGGTCTAGTAATCAGTGTGATACTGAACTTAATCACAAACTGCAGAACTAGGATCCAAAACACACCAGCAAATCAATTTCTTGATGCTTTTAAAAAGGCTTTTTGGACTGACCAAGTTAAAGTCTATGAAAAGATTCTTTACCAGTTATCACCATGTCAGTTGTTGGGAAGGATGGAGGAAACAGTCATTAGGTTTGGTAGGTAAATAGTTGGTTTGGATAAGTTTTGAAACCATTACTTGCAAACTGTCTTTTTTGTTTTCACTCTGGTTATTAGGCCCGAGCAGCTAAGCGCTGCGAAGGCCTATTGTTTTCCTATTGTTTATTAGGCCCGAGCAGCTAAGCGCTGCGAAGGCCTATTGTTTTCCTATTGTTTATTAGGCCCGAGCAGCTAAGCGCTGCGAAGGCCTATTGTTTTCCTACTGTTTCTATTATTATTCTGCCCCCTAAAGAGGGGCCTTTTTGGGGGCTTTATCATTTTCAAAAACTCACCAAACTTGGCGGACGCGTAAAGGGAGGTTCAAAATTTTGTATTTTAAGGTCATTGCAAAAATCCTATAAAAAATGGCTCAATAGCGCCACCTACAAATTTTCAAAGGACCCTTTGCTATTCACTTACTTTATCCTAGAGACATGAAATTTGGTACACTTGTAGAGCTCCCCAAGATGCTCAAAATTTACAATTAATGTCATAGTGCAAGTATCACAGGAAGTCAGCCA